AGGTAAGGTACTAGGATTTCGTGGGGCGCACACTGGGGTGGGGCGCACACTGGTGAAACACGTTAAACAAAGGGCAAGTAATGAAATCGAAAGTATGTGCATCGTTCACTCCGGTCGTGATACAGTACTGAGTGTTCCCAAGTGGCCCCTCTTCTCATTACTACTTCGTGCACTACTTAACCTTCGTGTCGAATCCCTTGTACCGCTTCTGGAAATCCAATATGTTACCTAGCTCTTTCTATATTTCCAACCCCCGATCTCTCATGAGATGTTGTACCCCATGGCCCTTAAAATCGCCTTCCCCTCTTCCACATCATCCGGTTCCCAAACCCGCAACCCATACGACTCCAAGAAATCTTTGAAGCTAGGAAACCCCTGAGCCTTGGCTGCCTTGTAGGTAGTTGTGATTTTTGATTTGTCGGGTTCAGAAGACATGTTGCTGGCCTGTCATGTGTATCTTGAAATGTATCTTGAAGTAGGAATAGTTGTGTGAGATGGTCGAGATCGGCATGTAGATAAGACTTTTAATTTGAGGACGGCGAGAAGTGTGGAACAGTAGGAAGAGGCTTCGGGGGGACAACTGCGTTTTATGTCCGGCAAGACGTGTCGAAGCGGGGGATTATGAAGAAGCGGGGCGCGGGGAGAGCGGCATGTGATCACGCGTATGGACGCGTCCCCTATTCATATTGCTTTGCACTTGGATACCTTGATCCATTAATCGTTGCGAGGAAAAATCGTTGATGACAACATGCTCGTCTCAGAACCCGAGTACGAGTCCAACGACTCCCAACATGGCACTTGCCAACCATCCGACTTCGTTTCTCTTGTTATCAGCAGCCATAGCTGTACTGGAAGTAGTGCTCAGTCTACTAGTAGTGATCGCTCCCGGACGTGCAACATCGGTGATGCTTGCCTCGAAGCCCGTCTTCGGCAGAGTAACGGTAGTAGGCACAGCGCTTACTGTAGCGGTGACAGCGACCCCGCTTGAACTGATGGTGACTAGAGTACTTCCAGCAGCATTTGTGGTGATGGCAACCAACGTCTGGTCGGAACTAGGTCCGATGGTGGTGGAGACACCAGGCGTTAGCGCTATTATCGCTGAGCCGAGCGTGATAGAGTTGGGAATGGCTCCTGGTGTAGAGCCTGTGGCACTTGGCATGCTTGGTCCCGGCGTGATGCTATTTCTGTCTGTTTGCAGCACGGTATCAACGGCAGAATCGCCAGTAGAATCGACGGTGGAGCCTTCGCCCGAATCGCCTGTTCCACGCGACAAGGATGGCGCTGGCTGCGCGTCAAGCCCTGTAGGTTGCGCATCAGGCCGTGGAGGTTGTCCATCAGGCCGTGGAGATTGCGCGTCAGATTGAGTTGGTTGCGCAATAGATTGGGTTTGGCCGAGCCGCGAGACTATCTCTGACAGCAGACTGTTCTGTGATGTCTGTGGTGTCTGTTGTGCCTGTTGTGCCTGTTGTGCGTCTGACAGGACAACCCTAGACGGGTCATCCCCTACGGGACTACCCGCATGTTCTTTCTGTGTAGTAGCGGACGGACCAGATGTATCTTGCGTCACTATGTTGGCTCCCGCCTGGTTCTCCTCTAATTCAAGGCCACCCGCTGCCGAGCTGGGTGTAGCAGTAGGCTCAACACGAGCCACGGTATTCGTCCCACCACGAACTACAGTATTTGTCTCAATATTGATAACCGTTGGGACACTCGAAGTGCGAACGACATCAGTCGGAGTGGTTGGGCCAACGATGGTCCTACCAACGTCGGCGTCGTCAAAGCCTGTGGCCGTTGGAAGCTCTGGTCTTTCCCGTCCGCCACAAGCCCTTGGATTGGCCAAACACTCGTCTGGTATGCTGTTAAGATCATCCGATGGCGTTTCCAAAGCGCCCTCGCTGGTTTGGCCAATGGGTATGGTAGCCGTAGCATTTACGGGAGTATCGATTTCTGGCAAAAGTAAGTCTTGACCATCGTATCCCGTGGCGAGCAGTGACATACGTGGGAAAGCTAGGACAGCACGGGCGAGGACTACAAGAGTCAGGAGTTCAGACGGTACAAACATCAACATGGTGGCGCGCTACGTATCTGTGTACGACAGCTTGCGGTGGGTGCTGGCCAAGTATTGAGAAGCAAAGGACGAGGCCTCTCGCGCTCTGAATTGCCCCAACCCCTTTCCCTCAGCCATGGTCTGAAAACGTTGAAGTTTGTCAATCATGCCGCAGACAATGCCTCATCCTAGCTAGCCTGAGAGCGATGAATGGCGCGCGATCACATGCCAAGGGCCATGGGACATTGGCACGCCGGCGCGCACGCCCATCACCATCCATCTCCACACCGCGAACTGCACATTCTGACACCATCTTACACTCTGAGTTCCCTAACCTGTCCATTGGTGTAGTATACAGTATGTAATCCCCACATCTGAACAAATCCAATGCGATACTCGACTAGACAGTCGAGATCTTGCATGACACAGCAGATTGCTGAGCTGGACGCCTGAAAATCCAATTTACCAGGGGGCAATATCGTATCTCGAGAGATAGCATCGCGCATTGCCCCTCACACAAGAATCGAAGCATGCACCGGCCCTTCTAGAAAGGCTTACGGGTCTTTGATGGTTCTGTCAGGGCCACCGTTGGAGCCTAAAAGATACGAAGCACAAGCAAGAGAACGGAGAGCTGGGTCAAGCGGTAGGCACGGACGCGATGTCCACCATGCGAACGCCCTAGCGCTGCGTTTTCTTGAACATAACATGACTAGGTCAAAGCGCTATCGTTAGGGCTGAAAGCACCAACCGCGATAGCCTGGAGCCGCCATTGAATGCCTGGGTGTGGCGTTGGAAGACCGCCCCAAGGTATCAAACAACGTCCCTCCAGGCAACCAGTACGACCTAAGAATTCAGGTGACCAATATCATCAAACTTGAGTCAGACCACAGATGCTTGTCGCAGGCCTCTCTGAAGACCTTGAGAATATCTGGCACACTTGGCAGTTTGCATTGCGAAATGGCGCACCCAAAAAGCACCAGAGCATAGCCTCTCTGGAGTTTCGCCTGATACCACACTCCATCTCGTACCTCCATTCTCTGGGCACAGGAGGGTCATAGTGTCTGGTCAGCCTGAACGAACCAATTGTCAGCCAGAAGCACCCCCGACTTGAATGGAAATCTAGCAGATTCCATGATGATTGAAACATTACAAGCTACGATGAGCCAGCCGCCTGAAAGCAAGGAAATTCAGTAAATTTTACGAACACACAGGAGAAAAGTGTGCAGTTTTGCAGGCAACTGCCCGAGTATCGGCCGTTGCCGTCATGTTCTCTTAGTTTGTTCACAGCGACCGGCCTGCGACCATCGAGTTTCCGGCCCCCACACTTGCAAAGGACCACAGCCCCATTGCCGCGACCGCAACTTTGTTTGCACCAACCCCTCACATGTTCACTGCGGAAGGGTTTCATGAGTGTGCAAATAGCTAAGAGGCAACTGTTAAGCCTCAATAGTTTGGCGGTGAGATCATTATCGGTAAGCCATAGTTCATGCAAAAGGGCGTTCAAGAGGAGGCGCAGCCAACCATAGTGTGCTATCACCTGCATCAGCCACACTGGCGAGCCACAAAAAAGAGGCGGTGCTAGTTCATTGTCCACGGGTTGTGTGGGTCCATGCTGGCCAGGTATGATGTCGTTCAGTGTGTAGGCAGTTGAGACATGCGGTCGGATGGTATATAGAGGATGTGACTATACGACTGTGTCCTTCACCCTCTTCTTACTGGCACAACTATAAGTATCCTCGACGCAGCTGTAGTTGCAGACACGACTTTCTCAGAACAACTTCAATACCACCACCTCTTCAAGTCAATTACCATCTGATCTCAGAAGTACTAAGGCAGCCTTACAAGGCAACCACGATGTCTTACCTGCACTTCTCTCACACTCATGCGCGCGAGCGCACTCCTGAGAAGGAGCCTTACACTGGGCGCCCTCTTTTGCGCCGCAATACCTACAAACGAGACCCCAGCATCACGCTCTCGGATCTCGACGACGGCCATGATGACTACCCATACCCCGCCAACCACAAGTCCAACAAGATCTCCAGCGCCCTGACGGTCCGCGATCGACCTTCTCAGCTGGAACGCTACAACATCTTGTCAAACGACACACGTAACAACGAAGACGACGAGAGACTATACAGCTACGACAGGCACCGCACATACCGGTACTCGGACCGTCGCCATCATAGCGATGACGAAGACGCAGAAGACCGTGCTCTTCGACTCAGGATCAGTGCTACCTTGGATCGACCCAGCACATCCTATCACCACTCTCACGGGTCTCACCTCTGGCCTAGCGAGACGCTTCACCGCAGTGACAGATGGATTGATGAGGCCTGGGAGACCCGTGAGCGGTCTCTGTCTCGGGAGCGCACTAGGGTCCGGCGAAACAGCTTCTGGGGAGGCTTTGAAGAGAAGGAGACGGAGACGCAAGATGAACGATGGAGCAGGTACCACCGAGTTAGCGATACGAAGACGGAGGAGATTCGCCCGCTGAGTGGATGGCGTCGCCGCCGGATTGTTGGAGGGAACTAAGGTTGGTGATATGAATCAGGGATGTTTCCTATTGGGAGTATAAAGGAGTCTTCAGGTTAAGTGTTCTTGACTTTCGGCTAGTTTTGACTTTCGATCGGTTTTGGCTTTCGACTGTTTTTGACTTTCGTCTGCTTTCATAGGCACCGGATTTCCTTAAGACGCTCGTTTCCAACAGTAAGGGTGGGGATATACAATGGTTTTTGTGCTGTGTTTGAGATTATTTCCTACTTTGTATAGATAGTTTTCGTTTGTAATTAGATACCCAGAACAATATGAATTAGTATAAGAGAATTCAGGTTTTACTTAGTGACGATGGTTTGAAGATGCGGGGGTCAATGATAAGATCAGACGAGGGGCGCGCACGGGCCTGACGACGCATTGTTTGGTTTGGCGCTTGTCGTGTTTACATGCATCGACACTCCCGTCCCGAACCACGACAACCACACTCCAAATATCACAACCACACCATGGCGCAATCAGACGCCCAAGATAATATTGCCGACGGCCTCATCGCCAATGGCTCATTCAAGGCCCCCGCACAATCACCAAAGAAATCAGGGTTGTCGCCCAAAAAGACTGCGCGCAAGACGCGTAGCAAGAGTATTGGTCCTGGTGGCCTGGAAGAGTTGGAGGCACCACCCCTGAAAGAGGCTGCGGGAAACAGGAGAAAGGTATTTCGAGTGTATGCGACTAGGAATGTATAAGTTACTGACTGTTTAGTCTGCCTTTATCCCCGCAGTCAAGTCAATTCTTGCCTCTAATGGCGAGGATGAGAAGAAGCGGCGCGAAGCCCGTCGCAAGTCTTTGGGTAAGATTGGTAGTCTTAAAACTGTAACAGTTACGATGTTAATTACTCTTAGCAAGGAGACGCGTCTCGTTTGCCCCAGAAGCCACTTTACATACGTGGGATGTAGTCGAGTACATGCGCGATGCGACCACTTCCTCCGCCTCATCAGAGGCCACCCGAAGAGCCTCGAACGTCTCCCAGGCATCCACACCCGCATCGCCTGCCCCTCCTTCAGACCCCGCCGAGCCGCCTTCTACACCACCAGAGCAGGCCGAAGAGCCTGAGCCTGAGCCCGGTTCTTCGCCTGCGAACCAGCGATCGCAACACCAGAAGAAAAACCGCAGAAGTTCTGGAATACCGCCCATGAACTTCAACAACCCAGATGACGCCTATTCTTCAAGCCCTCTGAGTGGAGACAACGCGTCACCTGGCGGCGACAACGGCAGCAGTGATTCCGAGAGTGACGACGATTTGACAGCGAACCTGGGCGCTTCCCCAGACACAGAAGACTCTTCACAGAGCAGCGCTCGCTTAGACGCTGCACTCCGTGAGGCTGCGAACCAGGCAACTACTCAAAGACTGGACTTGGACGATGAAGACGAAGACGAAGATGAGAACGGAGATATGACCATGGACATTGCACAAGACGAAATTACTTCCGCTTTCAAACCATGGGCGAAGAAGAGCTTTGTCACCGAATACGACAAGGAAAACGCTAGCCCTGCCTTCTCACCAGCACGTACGGTGGTCGAGGATGACGATATGAGCATGGATATCACACGCGCAGTGGGCCGCATTATTCCCCATGACCAGCAGCAACAACAGAAGGAGCAGGAGCAGCAGGAGCAGCAAGAGCAGGAGCAAGAGCAGGAGCAGCAACCCGAAAATGCAAGCTCAGACATGGATGAAGACATGACCATGGACCTGACTATGCCACTGGGGAGCATTCGGGCCATGGCAGCCAACGCGCCCGCAAATAGGAGAAAGAGTCTTAAGAGGAGAATATCCATGCTGGAAGCGTCACAAGGAAGCCCTGCGAAGCGCCCTGCGGACCGACGAGCCAGCCTCCGACAACGTCTACCATCTCAAGAGAACGTATCTGAGGACGCTACTATGGATCTTACAATGGCAATCGGGGGTATCGTAAGAGGACCAGTGCCTGTATCTACTAGAGGTGATAGCATTGAGACTCCAGTTGAAGATGCAACCATGGACTTTACACTAGCTATGGGTAGTATCAAGAAAAACCAATCCCCCGCACAGATTGAGGAGGACGTCCAGGATGAGGAGGTCGAGGACGAGGACCTCTCCATGGAGTTCACCAAGATTGTTGGACCTGGTATCAAGCGATCCATACTAGCATCAGCAACCCCAGAGAAGTCTGCCGATGCCACACCCACTCCAGCTGGCAAGACACCGACTCCGCAAAAATTGTCATCCAAAAAATCACCCGGACGCAGAAGGAGCTCAATTCTCAGGTCAGAGGCAGAGGCTGCTCCTGAGGTATTGAAAGACATTACTCCCAGCACCTCAGGAGATGTGGTTTACCCAACTCTGGATCCAGGCACTCCTGAAATTGTCAGACAGAAGGATATCGAAGAAATCGAGCCTTCTCCGTTCGTGCGCCGTACTCCTTTGAGTGCTTCGAAGGAGAAAGGATCTGTAGCAACGCCTACCAGCCAAAAGAAAACGGATACACCCAAAGCGATTCCCGACGATCCGCTGGCTGCCCCTATCCTGAACCGACGCCGTTCCTCATTATCTGCCGTACAGTTCAGTCCTCTAGGTGCACCACGCGAGGAGCCTGTTTTGAAGAGCACTTCACTACTGAGCAACAGCATTAAGCTGTTGTTCACGCCACGAAAGCAGTCACTGATGTCACCGGTGAAGCGTGGTATGACACCAAAGAAGGCCCAGACTCCCCAAAAGCAGCCAACGCCCAAGCAGAAGACCCCAACGCCTAAAAAGGTCACACCACGGAAAAGTATGAGTCCTAAGAAACGTGTCGTCTTCGGTGAGCAAGAGCAAGAGCAAGAAGGGGCTGAAGTAGAGGAAGGTGTTGCAGAAGACTTCTCCGAGGTCGAGCGCATCTCGCTTCAGGACTTCCTGGATATGACCAAAATTCGCTTCATGGACCTTAGTACGACCAAGAGACGGCATACGGCTGCTCCCTCTGCTTTTCATGACGTCGAAGTAGAGGAGAAGGAAGAGTCATTGGACCGTTTCGTGGTTGCCGGTGCATGTACATTGCCTGAGTACGAACTGTATCAACACGCATGCCACGAGATGAAGAAGTACATCTCAGATGGCCGCCACTTTGTCCGCACCATGGAGGCCAATGTCTTGGAGGAGAACCCACTACTCTTTAGTGAATATCTCACTGCTCCTCCGGACCAGCGTGCCGTCATGGACAACCAATTCAAGAATCTCAAGACCAATGCCCGCCTCGAAGCACGTGGAGAGTGGTATACTTGGAGAAGCACTCTCCTGCAGGATCTTAAGACTGGTCTTCTTCATACTATGGATGGCTTCAAACGCGATGAGTCTACACTGATCAACCAGGAGCAATTGCTTGATGTTGTCCTACCGCCTTTGGTAGAGAAGAAGGAGCTTCTGTCCACTGAGTGCAAGCAGTTACAGCAGCGCCACGATGAACTGAACAGTTGCGACCGGGAGGAGCTTGAGCAAACAAGAGAGAAGCTCACTGCTACAGATGCTGAGCTGGAAGAGAAGAAGCGGTTGTTGGCTCAGCTCCAGAAGGAGCTCGCTGACAAGGAAGCGCGCATTGAGGCAGCCAAGAGCCGCAAGGTCGAATGCATTGAGGAGATCAAGGCTGCAGAACGCATGCGAGAAGAGTGCCGTGGCTGGTCAACGAGTGAAGTCAGCAATCTCAAAGGTATGTCAGATCCATCTATCAATGATGATATTCCACTAACAGCAACACAGCTAAAGTCGCTGCTCTGGAACAAGCTCATGGCTGGAGTATTACCTCTGCTTCATCCACAAGCATCACCATGACTCACTTGAACGACTTGGAACTGTATTTTGTGCCATCTGCCTTTGCTACAGGCTCCAACACACCAAACGGGTCCATCTCACTCGCGTACATTGGAGACTCGGCAACACCCCATCCCCGTCCCCTGACTACCAGCAAGCGCTTCTTCCTCCAGTTGATCCGCGCTCACCTTCACGGCATCCCGCAATCACAGACACGCATTTCGTCTCTTCTCCATCTTGTCAAGAATAGCTGGGCTACTGCGCTTGCAGTTGCCGAGGGTGTTCGCTGGCTAGAGCACAGCTACATCACAGAAGAGTGCATCCTGTCTGATGAACGCATGGCAATCGCTGCCAACATGCTGCTTCCCACTCTCCAAACCAAGGTCAAGGCTACCTTTGAACTTGGAGTCAATCTCGGCAAAGAGGGTGTGGAGACTGAGGTTAGCATGGCAGCAGAAGTCGTCTATGGAGAGAAGTATGGCGAAGAAAAGATGGGTGCTTTCTTGAAAGACTTTTGCGGTAATGAAATTAAGAACAAAGAGGGTATGTCGGTCTGGGCAGATGCTATGTTGGATCTTGCTGCTAGGCTTAAGAAGACTGGAAGGAAGGGCGAGAGGAAGTAACTTTGAGAAGACCATTTATGACTAAGCTTGATGAGGAACGATGGCGTTTTAGGTTCTGAGACTTTGTTGGGAGGCTAAAGATACCAATTGCATATATTTTATTCTTCTTCTTCAAGATTGGAGTTTTTTGTACATACTTTTGAGCTTGTGATACTGCTGGATGTGCATACCATCTGCTATTGGCTTCGTACCTGCGGAGACGGTGATGGTGTCGTATATGCTGTATGACAAGGAGGGTTTTTCTCTACTGGGGTTTGTAAGTACAATCTCCAGCAGCGACGGGTTTAATTCTTCTAGAGTTTCCTTTGGGGGCTTGGTTGGGACAGTGTTTGCCTTGCTTGGCAGCTGAAGATTTACACAAGGCAAAAGCGTAGTCTCCTGTAGCGGGTGAAGTTAGAGGATCAGCTGGAACACTACGATACTCAGAGCGGTTCAGATGTATGGGTGGACACTGTTACAGCTTTGCCTCGCCAATCGGCTTTTGAAAAGGGTCGGAAAAGGGGTGGTTGGCCGAGTATACAATTCCTCAGGCTCAAGCACGTGAGCGATGGAATTATATCTAAATTCTCCTCCTCTTTCGCCTAATCTTCTCCATTCTTGCTTCTTCGTTTGCTTGGGAGGTTGTTAAAATTTCCGCTGCAATCAAACTAAATTCCTGCTATTGTAGTGGAATCTCGTCGACCCAATTCAGCAAATAAATCGTCTGACTTACCAAGGCTATGCCGGGGGGGGGGTGCATGACTTGATTTGTTCGGATGGGATATGCCAGTGCACACAAAATCACGAGTAAAAGTACACAAGGTGCTCCTGAAACAAAAAAATAACAACAACAATTAGTTCTCGATAATGCCGAGGTGGTTCGAGCAGGGCAAGATCGGTGTGTTGAGAGTGAGATGTGCATTTTCGTTGAATGTTGCCGCGCGGGAGCCTGGCTGAGGCGTAAGTGTGCTGATGAGATGGGGATGTGATTGGTTACTATGCATCGTCTTCTTGAGTAGAAGTAAGATGGGCAAGCCAGAGCTTGAGTAGAATGGGTGGCCTAATCAGTCAACATCTTATCTCTTGGCTATTATGTGCGTTGTCAGATACCTTGGCTGGAGCTTGAACACTTCGCGATAGTGTTTTGAGTCTCTCACTATTCAAGCGGGTTTATGAATCGGCTTTTGATTTAGTTCATTATTTCTCCTGTAGATATAAATGTATTGCTTGGTCATCAGTTCGTCCCTGTAATACTATTCTAGGTCATGACGTCAAGTCTGAAGCCTCGGCCCCTAGTCCATAACGTGTGGAGAAACCTGACAGCTCTATGGTCAAATATGTGTGATGTATATGACGGCTAGGGCATTGGCGTTTACCGAAAGCCCGTCGGGTATCCCCACTCCAGCTTCACGTGTTCGTCGGGGTTCCGAGATTATCACGGGTTTAACGGACATAATGTTAAGTACGTACCAATGTCAGCACCCTCGATAACGTCTTGAAAGATATTGATTACGACAAGTGTGCTATCTATGAAGCACTATGATTCATTATGACTCCTATGAGTATAATACTGACGCTCGATAAGGGGGATGGACGAGAACCGGAGGACGTTTCTCGCCATCGAAACGTAAACTTTACCTTGCTGACATTTCATTCTTTCTGCTTAACAAGACGGCCAGGCTGTATAGGTTGCGTCCTCGCTTATCCTGCATATCACCTCAGCCGCCATGTTTTAGAAGCGATCGCCGGCACATTAGCGGCCATTTGTCAGCGGAATGTGGCTTGCAGTTGCCCACGAAAACAACCGTTGACTTACAAATATCGGAGACTTTTTCTTCCAAGGCTTCGGACCAAAATCAAGTAAATGTCTGCGATTGGATCATGTGAGGTAAACCTACTGTGTGTTTTGGGAAGGGCGTTTAGTGTGCTCCTGCAACGATGTTGAGGCTGGAAGAGGAAACACAGCAAAGTTCTGTAGTAACTTAGGTTTGCGTTTTCCACAACCCCTTTTTCTTTTTGTGCAATCAGCGAGCGCCAGCAATTAAGGGCGTTGTCTGACTGCTTTTGTAGGCGCACTAGGGGCGGCCAGCCTCGCTTGCAGAACGGTCAGAATTGTAGGTGTAGGTAGCACATTGGGCTCACATGCTTTTCGAGACACTGATACACGCTTCGTGCACACCCTCTATTCGCTTCATATCCTCAATTCGTCCGGCACTCTGCTTGCTGTAAGATGTGTGGTTGCTTTTCCCCATGTCACTTTATGTCCGCTTACTCCGTTGCCTCCGCTGGCTCCACTGTGACACTTGGTTTCAAGCACTATCAGAAAGTTATCCGTCGAATCAACTGGCGTCAGACGACACGGCTAAGAGATATACAACTACGTTTGCCTAATGTCAGCCCTTTGCCAAGTGCTCAAGTCCCGGAATGTAAGATGCGCCCCATCGGAGGTTGTCGCCTAACTGGGTGTCACGGGAGAAATCTACGACACACATGGGATTTACTTCGTTTTTGCTACGCTTGACCGGTCCGGAAAGTTCTGTGCATGTCTGCTCCCCAGCCGTGTTTTCGTGTCACGCAAGAATCTGACACCCTCGCGTGGCTGGCCCTGCAGACGATGAAGTAAAGATAGAAACTACAATGAAGTATAAAGGGTCAAGGGGGGAACTTGGTTTGATACCACAGCACTTTCCAACTTCTCATCTAACAGACGCGCCTTCTCTGCGAGATAAGCGTTACCCCTTTTGAGAGGCTGAACCACAACGTTCCACTCAACCTTATCAGCCTTCACAAAAGATCTTTCTGTTAGCATTCAACACGTCCTGTATACCCGTGGCACCATATCACCGCAGCCATGTCGTCCTACTTGTTCAAGCACTCTAGTGTGGGAACATTATTGCACTATGCCAAACACCGCAAGTTCGACTACACCCGCAAGCCACCCAAACCATTATCCCCATCTTCGTCAACAGACGACCTCCCCTTTCCAAAAGAAGAAGTACCCATAGAGGGCGCTATTGGCGCGGAGCTCAAGCAGCATCAAACCACACTTGTAGACTGGAGTGGCCCAGACGACCCCAGCAACCCCCAGAACTGGCCTCGGAGTCACAAAATCCTCGTGACGGTCATACTCTGCGTCTACACTTTCGCCGTCTATGTTGGATCTTCGATATACACTTCCTCACAGCAAGCTGTGATGGATATATTTGACGTCAGTCATGTTGCAGCCTCGCTAGGTATCGCACTGTACGTGCTCGGCTACGGTATCGGGTGTCTGCTATTCTCCCCACTGTCCGAGGTTCCAGCTATCGGCAGGAACCCTCCATATGCCATATCGGGATTCTTGTTCGTTATCCTGTGTATACCCACTTCCTTAGTGGACAACTTCGCCGGGTTGATGGTGCTGCGATTCCTTCTGGGTTTCATGGCATCGCCCTGCCTCGCTACTGCGGGTGCGTCGCTCGCAGATGTCTGGACAATGGCCGAGTTCCCGTTCGCCGTCGCCCTCTGGGCCATGGTCGCCACATTGGGTCCTGCCCTGGGCCCAACACTGTCTTCCTACGCCGTCAAGGATTTGGGATGGCGCTTCTCGAGCTGGGAGCTGCTCATCATCTCAGGACCAGTATATCTCGTGTTGCTTCTTGTTCTACCAGAGAGCTCTGGACCCACTATCCTCTACTACAAGGCTAAGCGTATGCGCGAGGAGACAGGAAACCAGGAGCTTATGTCTGACTCGGAACGCAAGCAGAAGAACATGAAGGTCAGCAGTTTGCTATTTGATGCTCTCGTCAAGCCCTGGGAAATCAACGTTCTGGACCCGGCCATCTTGTTCACGACGGTATACATGGGCTTGTGTTATGGTATCTACTACTCATTCTTTGAGGTAAGCACTTCATCAATCTCGTCGCTAAGCGCACTCACTAACATGTTCCAGTCTCTTCCCTTGGTCTACGTCCCCATGTATAACTTCAATGCCGAGACAACTGGCCTCATCTTCCTTTCAATTCTTCCAGGCTGTGGACTCGCATTCACTGTCCACGTCTTGTACCTCAAGTACCGAGTCTTCCCCCGTTTGATGACCGGTACATTTGGCGAGCTTGAAAACCACCTGTGGCCTGGTTTAATTGCCAGCCCTATCATCGCGATTGGACTGTTCATGTTTGCATGGGCATCTCGACCCTCTGTCCATTGGATTGTACCTACGATCGGTCTCGGTCTGACCGTCTTTGGAATCTACTTCATCGCTCAGAGTGTCTTGCTCTACATCCCGAACATCTACCCGCGTTATGCAGCCAGTATCTTCAGCGCAAACAGTCTGAGCAGAAGCGCGTTCGCTTTTGCCGCCATTCTATTTGCACGACCCATGTTCGAGGGCATTGGAATCGATGGAGGAGTGAGCTTGTTGGCAGGGTGCATGGTAATCTGCTCTGTTGGCATTTTCCTCTTGTACAAGTTCGGTAAGAAGCTGCGAGAGCGCAGCCGATTCGCCGTCGCATAGGCTTAGCAACTCTACGATTTATGAATTATTTTACGAGAAGAGGAGACTATGAGGAGGAAATTGATACCAAAGGATGCTAGACGGATTTAATACATAGATGTAATAGTCGAATCTCCCTTCAAGAAATGTCATTTCATCATCAAGCAAGTTGATTCCCATTTGCACAATGTAGATGAAGATGTGAACCGACTCTTGTTATAGCCATGGTGGCGACTTCTCCGACGAATGTCTACACGTATGGTAAGCTTTGTAAGATGGAAGATCAGGGTTTAAACATGGATAGGACGATCGAAGCTTATCGCTTGTGATCGGCCCGGATGAGGATCGACGAACAACGCCAGGGGATGCCGAACTGTGGGTTTAAGCGCACAGGCACATGGCCCGCATCGAGGTATTGCCGGTTACTACTACCAGAACTCTTTTGAGTCAGGCGACGATCAGCAATTGTGTCTACACGACTTGGGTAGGCTGTCCTAGTTACGCGCCTGACACAACTACAAGGCATTGTGAAAAGCCCATGGCTACTCAGGCCACCAACATTCCGCCCCCCATTTCAGGGACACTTGGCGTGCAGATGAGTCGCGCTCTCCAGCACAGTCGATGGCTTGAAATAGATCCTGCAGGGTCGGCAGCATTACCTGGTGGGTGCGGTTGATTGTCCACAACCTCGTCCTGATCGTAGTCACTAACACGGTAAGTAGATTGCCTTTTTATGAATCTTCCGCAAAAACTCGTGATGTATAGTAAGGCCCGCTGCACTAACCTTATCCTGCCGGTGAAGGAGAACGCAATCAAAAGCGCCAGTTGTCCGACATCCACTCGATGAAAGCAACAACAACCCGCGACTAGACGAGCCTCGGCCAGGCGCATGTGTTCCGGCCGTTGGGAGTGAAGAAAGCCAAGGCGGCAATGAAAGAATCTGTTCCCAAGGGCTATACGGCAGTGTCAGGGCCAGACCTGCCTTTCCGCAAGAGGAATGGTTTGGCGCCGGGTGCCCCTGACTTGTGATCGCTTGTGCTGTAGCCGACGCCTCCTAGATCACATCCAACATCAAATCACTCGGACTCCTTCCTGCATTCGGATATATCCACCCACTCCAAATATGCTGCCATGAGGCGTAGCCTTTAGGCAGCCACTGCGGGCCCATTCTTTTTTCCTCCGCGATGCACATCCATCAGGCCTCTGCAGCGTGTCTAATCGACTCTCTAATTCGGCATGAAGATGAGGGCACAGTACTCGTCGTAATATCATCAAAAAAAACCCACCGTTAAATGCGGGATGACACCTTTCCGGTGCCTGGACTAAGTATCAACGCCACTTCCGGGACTCTGGACCGACTATCCTGTCGTGGCGTCTCCTCTCTCTTCCCTTTGTTGACACTCAAAGAGCCATACTGCTTTAGCCGAGATTGAAGTTTCCCATGGCCGGAAGCGGCCTGTCCACCGGTCGTCAGTCTAAAGTAAGACATCATATGTCAGGGCTCCTAGAAGCAACCCATTCTCAAATTTAGCGCTCGCCTAGGTGCACAACTTCTTGGACGCCGTACCTGACTTCAGACTCGAAGCAGTTAGGTCCAAGGCCTCCGCACCAATGGAAGCGCAAATCTACAGCCATCTTTCTGTTCCTGCAGCTTCATGAGATTTGCCGTCCCATCCTGCACAATGGCATGGTTGCCTGCTGCTAAACGGCGCTGGTCAGTGACTAGCCACTCATGCAGGTACCACGCCATGAGGCCCTGAGGCCAAAGGTAGATATAGTGTAATCTCCCATTTCTACTTTTCTCATCGCGAGTCGCTCTGTTTTTCCAGTTCGCCCTCAAGTCGCTCTCTTTCGAGTCTCGATCCTAATTGCAGCATTTTTGCTTGCGTCCCTTCTTTGAGTTCGCTCATCACAATCTTTACTGGCCTTTGGCCGTCCTATCATTTCCATCACGTGTTGTTGTTCATACTGTTCATACTGTAATTATGGTCGCCTCAATCTTCTCACGCGTTGCTTTTGCAACTGGACTTCTTGCCTCCACTGCTTCGGCCGCTTACGATGCCTCCTCCAAGTCAAATGTCGCTGTTTACTGGGGACAGGGAAGCAACCAGATGTCGTTGCTCGAAGTCTGCTTGGATCCTAACGTAGACATTGTCAACATTGGCTGTAAGTAGTCCTGGATAAGATAGACATAGCGGGTCCTCAGTCAAGCTGAGGACGTGCCAATGTCTGATCGAACCAGTATAACTACCAATAGAACACTACTAATACAATCATCCCAATAGTCATCAACAAGTTCCCTACGAAGCGAGGCGAATATCCTGGATCAAACCACGCCAATGCCTGTGGTGACGCAACTTACCTTGACCCGACTACCAACAAGCCCAGCAAGCTACTCAGCTCATGCCCTGGCGTTGGTGAGGCCATCAATGCTTGTAAGAGGAGAGGCAAGAAGGTCATGCTCTCGCTCGGTGGTGGCTGGCCAACAGACTACTACCTCCCAACACCAGATGTTGCAAATTGGTTTGCTGAGTTTTTGCTCGGAGCTTATGGCCCTCCTACCGCCGAGTGGAAAGCTGCAGGCAAGCCCCGTCCCTTCGGCGATGCCTATGTTGATGGTTTCGATCTCGACCTCGAAGCCGCAGAGTGGGATGTACCGTCCAAGGACATGCTCTACCTGAACTACGATGTCTTCGGCAAGTACATCAAGGCACACTCCAAAATGCTTCTCTCCGGTGCTCCCCAGTGCGTTGTCCCTGATGCTAGGATTTTCCTTGCTCTCAAGGAGGTTCCTTTCGATTTCCTATTCACTCAGTTCTACAACACCTGGAGCTGCTCTGCTGCCAAGGCCGTACAAGACATGAAGAACAAGGCAGAGAGCACCTTCACCTTTAACACCTGGATTTCTTGGCTCAAGGCAAACTCCAAGAACCCAGACATCAAGCTCTACCTTGGATTGGCTGCTGGTCCAGATGGTCTTCCTACACACAAGGACCACTACCTCACCCCTGAGGATGCCAATATGCTTGTTCAGTCCCTTCAAGGCGAAAGCTTGTTTGGTGGTGTTATGCTTTGGGAGGCGACCGTCTCTAAGAACAACCCGACTTATGGCCAGTCCTACGGTACCTGGATGAAGTACGCTGTTGAGGGTACTTTCAAAGACAAGTACCACCCTGTTGTATCTTCTAGCTCTGTGGTCTCTTCTACAATCACACCTTCCAGCACTCCTGCCTCCAGCACTCCCGCATTCAGCACCCCAGCTTCAAGCACTCCGGTTCCCAGCATCTCAACTTCCACCTATCCTGCCTCCAGCATCTCGGCTTCCACCTATCCTGCCTCCAGTGTCTCTGCTTCTAGCATTCCGGGCTCGAGTGTTACTGCTTCTAGCATTCCAGGCTCTAGTGTCACTGCTTCCAGCATTCCGGGCTCGAGTGTCACTGCTTCCAGCATTCCGGGCTCGAGTGTCACTGCTTCCAGCATTCCTGCATCTAGCACCCCCGCTTCCAGCAGCGCTACTATGGTCAGCTCCAGCTCTATTGAAATTCCCAGCAGCACCCCAGTTGAGCTTTCTTCTATTGCTACCATCTCCCCCTCCGCTTCCAGCAGTAGCATCTCCGTTGGACCATCATCTGTCCCCACCGTCTCAGCACCCGAGAGCACCAGCAGCTCTGTCGTTATTCCTTCAGGTAGCGAGACCTCAACTTCCTGCAGCACTTCAAGCGGCGCCTATCCCACTGGTGTGAACTCTAGCTATGGCGTCTATCCTACTGAGTCAGCAGTGTACCCAACTGAGACATACTCTGCCAGTAAGGGTGCCGAGTACCCAGCCGAGAGCTCCAAGGGCTACGGAGAATACCCAGCTGCGTCCAGCACTGGTTATGACAGCACGCCTTCTGTCACCGAGAAGCCTGAGCAATCCGAGTACCCGACTGTTCCCACCGGCTCTACCACCAGTGTCGTTACCAGTAAGTTCAAGGTAGCATTTAACCCTAAGAAAACATACTAACTTCCCGAAGCCACCTACGTCGATGTTTGCCCCACTGGTCTCACCACTGTCACCACGACGTACGTTGCGACTGTTTGCACCAAGTGCGCGAAGCCCACCGGCACCGCCGATGTTCCTGAGGGATGGACCACGAGCGTATACACTGCCAGCACCTTGACTGTGACAATCACCAAGCCCATTGCCACCGTCACTGCTGTGCCTGAGTACCCATCCTCCGCTCCTTCGGTCGTGTACCCTGCGGAGTACCCTGCTTCCCCCATTTCTTCTGGAAAGCCTGCATATCCAGTCGTGCCTGAGGCTTCCAAGGCTGCGTACCCTGTCGTCCCTGAAGCCTCCAAGGTCGCGTACCCTACCATCCCTGAAGTCTCCAAGGCCGCTGAATACCCCACTGTTCCTGAAGTCTCCAAGGTTGCTGAGTACCCTGTGGCTCCTGCATCTTCTGCGGCTCCTGAGTACCCAGCTCACTCTGTGCCTTCTGTGCCCTCCGCCGCTCAGCCCGCCTCTTCGCCTGCTGCCGAGTACCCCTCGTATCCTGTTGGCACTGGCTACCCCAAGAAGCCCGTGGAGCATGAGGCTGTCAGCAGCACGCACGTGACTCTCAGCAAGGTTGCCGTTCCTACTTACATTCCTGCACCTTACCCATCGGCTGGTGTTCCTTACATCCCTGCCGGCCCTGCTAAGAACGCTACCAGCGAGTATGTCCCCATGCCCACTGGTACCGGCAAGCCCGTCACACCTCTCCCATCTATGCCACCGCAGTTTGAGGGCGCTGCTAGCCGCGCTAGTGTCGGCTTCATGATGTTTGTTGGTGCTGTCGGTGCTGTTCTTGCCATGTAAATTCTTTGAATAAGAGAGTTATGCATGGTGGTGAAGTGTGTTGTAGTTACTTTGATTCTCATGTAAATAAATGCTTATATCCACGTTCTACCGACTAAAATTCAATGTCGCGCAATTATTTGCAATGCTCATGATGCCCAGTTACTATCATGTCGTGATGTCTCGTGTCATAATGGCCTTTTGCGTAAACGTGTTAGTTCCAAGGTGGGGAACAACCAGAAGCATGCCAAATGTAGTAAGATGTGTTCATCACCACATCTCAGGTTGGCATCTGTATCCTGGGTCCCGAACAAGGGTTGCCATCTCACTGCGCAAGTCTCTACATATGTCGGCGGTGATTGGTCGTGGAAGGGAAACGGCAGGCCGCGGGGGAGAGCTTGGAGCACAAACGTGGTGGAGACAGCCTAGTCACCTTTCGTCATTCGTTCGCGACCTCCAGCGACGACTTGTACGCGCCGCCCGCAACCACGTCCCAAACTTTACTGCCAGGGCGCCGAGATGCTCACACAGAAGCCGTCGAATTTACGAATTGTTCCGCCTGACTGACATTCCCCGATTCGCTTTACCTTCGTCTAGGTGTTTCTAGAAGCCTCGCCTAGTCTTCCTTCTGTCTCTCCGCTACTTTCTGGGGTTGCCTTTCACACAGCACCTGCTGCTACTGGCAAGCCTCAACACCACCCGATATGAAATACACAATCTACGACCGGCTGCTCAAGCGAGAGGTTGGTCAAGAGCGCAGCAAGTACTCAGACATCCGATCGATATACGGCGACCGGAAATGGATCGATAATCTCGACATCGTAAACGAGCTTGAAGGTCACAACGGATGCGTCAATGCCCTTAGGTGAGAGACCGCTTTACAGATATTCAAGGGAAGTATCTAACATCACTAGCTGGTCGAAATCTGGCCGTCTCCTCGCTACCGGCTCCGACGACCACCGCATCAACATTCATGCATATCACCCCGAATCATCGACCGACCAGTTCAACCTCACCACGTCTATCGAGACAGGTCATCGCTCGAACATCTTCTCCGTAAAGTTCATGCCTTACTCGGGCGACCGTACCATCGTTAGCGCAACAGACGACGTGAGGATATTCGACATTGAGCATTCAGGTCACTCGGCCTTCCGAACTGCGTCTAGAGCAGGTGGTGCGCGAAACTTGGGTACAGCACGGAGCAGAGTGACACTGACCGAGGCCGATACAAATGCAAAAGCATTCCGCTGCCACACCGACACTGTGAAGAGGATTGTCACAGAAGACAACCCATTCTATTTCATGACCTGCTCCAACGATGGAGATGTACGTCAATGGGATATAAGGCAGCCAGCCAGGGCATATCCACCAGCACGAGACAGCATGCTTCCGGCGTGGGCAAGGGACGACGACGCATCTGATGATATTCCGCCTCCACTCATCTCGTACAGTCGATATGGACTGGATCTTAACACGGTTTCTTGTTCCCCTAGCCAACCCCACTATATAGCACTTGGTGGGGCGCACCTTCATTGCTTCTTGCATGATCGGCGCATGCTTGGCCGTGACATCAACCGTGAGCGTGGTTCCAGACTTTCCACTCCAGCAAGTTGGAACGAGAACGATGAGGAGCTTCTAGGAAAGGCGACACAGTGTGTTAAGAAGTTCGCGCCCAATGGGAAGCAACGCATGAGTAGAAGCGACAGCGGTCACATCACTTCATGTAAAATAAGCGACGCGCAGCCCAACGAGCTCATCGTAAGCTGGTCTCAAGACCACATCTATAGCTTCGACATTTTGAGAAGTCCGGATGCGAGAGAAAATGTAACACCAACAAAAGCATCAGGCAGTACATCTGGTCGTCGGGTCAAGGACAGTGCCAAAAAACGCAAGCGACCAAAGTCAAGTGCATCGTCTCAAGAAGCCGCTGAGCGGGCAGGATCTAGGCCACGAAATGATAGTACGGAAGATGACCTTGCACTACGCGTCACCTATGGCAATGGACAAAGTGAAGACATTCGCATCCAGACGCCTGCTGAGAGTCGCCTAACTCAGGAGCAACTGAACGAGTTGCGATCAACCGACCACTACCGTATTGCGAGTACAACTGTCAAGATAGCAAAGCGCATATTCGATCTTGGTGAACACGGAGAGACTGGACTGCAACTGGCCTTCACCTCCATCCTCGGCTTGGCAAACTCAATAATAGCGGATATGGATGACATAGATCGGACATGGACTTATCCAATTGACCCAGATCCCGTTGATGTGGCGGTACAAAACAAGCTCCGTGACAGCAGGGCAGCTTCGCGCCGGTTTGTGCAAGCAGCTGGAACGCTGGCACGAGTGTTGGGTGGACAGCTGTTGACTGGATCTAGCTCAGACGCTTTGATTGCACAGTACTTTGCATCGATTCACCCAGCGCCACGCGAGAGAGAGTTGCCTCGGCATCAACATTTCGGATATGACTTTTTGAAAGCTATACTTTTGTGGCTTGATAGTGGCCCGGGCGCAGTAGTAGAGGGATTCTCTGGACGGAGTAGCAATGCTCGTCTACCTCTCCCGCATGGGGCAGACATGGACGCCATACAAGAGCAACTGATTCCTTACCTGATGAACCTTGCAGGCGATGATAGCATTGTCAATCCTGATGCTTCCAAGTTTGAGACGGACGCCACTCGAATTCTATTTTCTTCTGAGATTGAAGCAGTTGATGCCTTTGGTCAGGCGCTACGGATACCTTTTGCAGATCTCACTGGCACAAACGGAGATGGGACGGAGGGAGATTCGACAGAAGAACCTACACAGACGCGAAGTGCAGCAAAAAGGAGATGGGCATATCAAGTTGGAAGGGGGGTGCTGCTCAACGCTTCGAAGGACGTCAACTTTGCTTTCGTGGATCGCGCCTATGGCGGTCGTGGCATCTCGGACAAACAAATCAGAGCCGAAGAGAGAGCGCTGAGAGCACGACAAGCAGATATCGATCCTCTGATCGATGAAGGCCCTGTCCGTGATGCAGAGTTGATTAGGACATCGAACCAAGAAGCAGAAAACGAGGACGGTTCCACAAGCTCGGATACCCCAACAGGATCGAGGTCCACCGTCGTTCAGAATCCTGGGGAAAACGAGGAAGGGGAAGAACAAAATGATGACGACGAAGACGATGACGATGATGAGGATGACGAAAATGATTGGTATGGCGACTCTGAAGATGGATTAGACGAGGATTCTGAGAATTCTGAGGACGAAGATGAAGAGGGACTACGGCGGACAAGAAGTGGACATATGCTATGGCGTACCGACTTTGGTCGCAGTCGCTACAAACGATGGAAGGTTGAACGCGACGTGCCTTGCGCACCTCATACCCGTGTTTACACGGGACATTGCAACGTCAAAACGGTAAAAGATGTTAACTACTTTGGTCTTCAGGACGAATACGTTGTCAGCGGAAGCGACTCAGGTCACGTTTTCATTTGGGATCGAAAGACCTCACAACTTCTCAACATCCTGGAAGGGGATGGAGAGGTTGTGAATGTTATTCAAGGTACGTTTGTCAATTTGCACAAAACCAGATGTCTAGCTAACAGGACCTAGGCCATCCTTATGAACCACTCATGGCTGTATCGGGCATTGACCACACAGTGAAGATATTCTCACCAGATGCTCATCTCCAACACAACGCTCGAAAAGGCGTAGGCGTGCATTCGGCAGACCCCACTTCCTTCTCTAGCATCCGCTGGGGTCGCCGTGGCCGTAATGTCACCACTGAACCCGCAGCCGAAACCGAGACTGAGCCTGCAACTGCAGCACTCAGTGATAGCGATGACGAGGTTATGCCTGGCGGACTTGCTAGTCGGCGCAGGATGCATCAGAGTTATCAAATCACAAGCCAGAATGACCTGGATCGCAAGGGTGAAAGAGACGATTATTTCATCAGCCAGGCGGTATTTGCGCAACTTGCTAGACACCTGGCTAGAGGTCAAGTCGGCGGTGTTGGAAATGGTGGTGGCGAGGAAGGAGAGGAAGGCAACGAGGCAATTGTCATCACTGAGGACAATTGTAGTATCATGTGAAAAGGACACTAATTGTAAAGCCAAAAAAAAGAAGGGAAATGCTTGCAGTTCGGCGTATAGGCTGTGATATCTTCACAATCACCTGTACCAGGCCAGGATTAAGCCATTCTAGAAAGGCAACGACTAAAAGTCAATATTATACTATCATCTGTCAATTCCAGTAACGACCCTGTAGTGTTACACTGAGACCCCTTTTACGGGTGATGGGTTTCACCCCATTACTCCAGAGCCAAGTCCATATCTAGGACTAGCTTTTGTTTATGATGCCTTCTTTTGCTGGGCCTTGAGTGCCTTCTTGCGATTGCTCTTGATCATTACTACCGAGACGAAACTGCCAACGACGGTGGTACCGAGAATAAGGAGGATGACGGGGATGCGGATAGCCCAGACGCGAGGGAGGAAGAGAGAGTGAAGGATGTGGTCATCATCAACAAAGGGCTATAGATGTTTATTAGTACATGTGTTGCGGCCAGAAAATCTTCAAATGGTAGCCATACCATGAACAGTGTCCAGACGGTGTAGTAGACGAAGACGGCAGTCGCTGCGACGAGCATGCTGAGACCCACGAGGCGATCGGCCTGTTTACAGTTAGTCTACATTGTTCTTGATTGTGCATGCTCAATCCCATACCATTGCGAAGTTTTGTTGGAATAAGGAACGAGTGAAATTAATTAGGAGTGAGACTGGGTTGCAACCATCATGCTGTCCCTTTCCTCCCTCTCTCCCGGGAAGACGCGCCAAGCCCAGACCCCTGTCGGCGAAACCGCGGTCCGTCCGCCGCAACTGCATTGCTGGGCCAGCTTCCAGGCTAAACTTTTGCGAGGCGCGTCACCTTACACGCCTCCACTTTGACTTCTCCCATCTTCACCCTTCCTCCCCCCACCCCCCGCGACCCTCTTACTAAGCGGTCATGGAGGTCGCATCTGCCGTCCGACTACCTTCGCCTTCACCAGAGCCCGAGGTCGATGCGCAAGATGTTCCGCGCAAACGCGAGCGCTCGCCATACGATGGGCCGAGTGCTGGGCCATCCAAGAGAAGTCGGAGAGATGAGGAGGATGACCATCGCAACGGAGAAGCTGGCCGTCGCCCGGCGCCGAAGCCAACGACCGATGACCTGCCCGAGGACGACTCGCGATTGAAGCTCTTCCAGAATGCCTTCAGCGCGAACCGGAAGCTGCCGATTGACGACTCCAAGACACGTGCTGGAGGCGCGTACATCCCACCCGCTCGCCTGCGCGAGATGCAAAAGTCGATTACGGACAAGAAGAGCGCAGAGTTCCAGCGCATGGCTTGGGAGGCGCTGAAGAAGTCGATTCAGGGTCTGATCAACAAGACGAATACCGCCAACATCAAGATGATTGTGCCTGAGCTATTTTCCGAGAACCTGGTGCGTGGACGAGGCCTGTTCTGCAGAGCCATCATGAAGGCGCAGGCGGCCAGTTTGCCCTTTACCCCGATTTACGCAACCATGGTAGCCATTGTGAACACCAAACTACCTCAGGTCGGCGATTTGCTGGTTCGTCGTTTGATCGTACAGTTCAGGAAGGGATTCAGGAGGAATGACAAGGCCGTTGCGCTGTCGAGCACCATGTTTCTGTCCCACCTCGTCAACACCCAGGTCGTCCATGAAATCCTCATTGCGGAAATCCTCCTGCTCCTACTCAACAAGCCTTCCGACGATTCTGTTGAGATTGCCGTCGGCATCATGAAGGAAGTCGGCGCTTTCCTCGACGAGATGAAACCTGCCATTGCCAACGCCATCTTTGACCAGATGCGCAACATCCTCCACGAAGCTGACATTGACAAGCGCACGCAATACATGATCGAGGTGCTTTTCGAAGTTCGGCGCACAAAGTACAAGGATAACCCGGTCGTGAGGGAAGAGTTGGATCTTATTGAGGAGGAAGATCAAATTACTCACAACCATACACTTGAGGGTGATTTGAAGGTTGAGGATGGCTTGAACATTTTCAAGTTCGATCCTGATTACGAAGCCCATGAGGAGGAATATGCAAAGATCAAGGCGGAAATTCTGGGTGAAGAGGAGGGCAGTGACGATGACGGATATACGGATGCGTCATCCGAAGATGAGGAAGATGAAGAGATCAAGGCTATGGATGTCAAGGATCAGACCAACGCGGATCTCGTCAACTTGCGCCGAACCATCTACCTCACCATCAAGAGTAGTGGTGGATTCGAAGAGTGTGTACACAAGCTGATGCGAATCAACCTGCCACAGGGTCTGGAGAACGAGCTCACTACCATGATTGTGGAGTGCGCTAGCCAGGAGAGAACCTACGAGAAGTTCTACGGTATGATCGGAGAGCGGTTCTGCAAGCTGAACCGGATGTGGACAGACCTGTTCGAGGAAGCATTTGCGCACTACTACGAGACCATTCACCGTTTTGAGACGAACCGCCTGCGCATCATCGCCCAGTTCTTCGCCCATTTGCTAGCATCCGACGGTATCGGCTGGCACGTCTTCCAAGTCGTGAAGATGACGGAAGAGGACACGACTTCTAGTTCTCGTATCTTTGTCAAGATTCTTTTCGAGGAGCTTCTTGCCTCGCTCGGCCAGAAGGCTGTAGTTGAACGCTTCAAGGACCCCATGCTCCAGGACAGCCTTACTGGCATCTTCCCCACAGATGCGGATGACCAGAGCAAGACACGCTTCTCGATCAACTTCTTCACTGCTATCGGCATGGGTGTGCTTACCGAGGGTATGCGTGACTGGCTCAAAAACAGTGCACCCAAGCCAAAGCCACTTCCCGAGCCAGAGAGTGATTCGGAAGACGATCGCAGTGTTTCATCGCGGTCAAGCTACACCTCGAGCAGTTACTCTCGATCACGAAGCCCTGTTCGCAGAAGGCGTGATTCGAGATCTAGCTCGCGAGGCAGGTCTTATACACGCAGCCCAACGCCCGACCGCAAGCGTGGTGGTCGTGGCAGGAGTGCTAGCTATGACTCCGCATCCCGCTCACGATCTCGCTCCCCAACGCCCCGTAAGCTCAAGAGCAAGCGCTCTTACTCATCCTCCCTTTCCCGTTCCCGCTCCCGCTCTCGTTCTGCGCCACCTCGCCGTCGAGGCCGCAGCCCTTCATACTCCGTATCCCGCTCTCCACCACCAAAAAGCAAATCCACAAGGCGTGACCGCAGCCCTACAGGCTCACTGTCTCGCTCCCCACCTCCGCGCCGTCGAAGATATTCCTCGTCTCCTTCGCGGTCGCCGTCTCCAGCACCAAGACGCAGACGCGATTCAAGCAGCCCTCCGCCATCGAAGGGCAAGGGCAAAGCGAGGGATGATAGTGCGAGCCCACCGCCCAGACGTAGAAGGGATTCTAGCACCCCGCCTCCAAGACACAGGCGTGCGTCGACTAGCCCGCCGCCGTCGAAGGGTAAGGGCAGAGCGAGGGATGATAGCGCTAGTCCACCGCCGAGGCGCAGGAGGGATTCTAGTACTCCGCCACCGAGAAGGAGGAGAGACTCGTAGTGCGATTCGTGGATGTAGAGGACGAAAATAGTTTGGTATGGGAGACATGTGTTGAGTACTGAATCGGAATAAGGTATGGCGATATCGTAGTATTTGTATATTATTACAGCATTTGCGGCGAAATTGAGCGAAAATGAGTTCTTGCAAAATACGAAACTTCTTTTGAATGAATACCAAAAAGTCATACAGCCCGCACCACATTCTTTGTATCTTTCCCTTATCCAAAGTTGCTGGCAGTTTTAATACAACAATGTCATTATCCACCGTCATCATATTCATCGTATAAGAAACGTGCATAATGACCTCCCACCACCCCTTCCTCATACAGACCTCTCAGCACCACACCCTAAACCCAACCAAACAAGGCTCACTCAGTCTCACCCCCTTCACTCACCAAATTCAGAAAGCACCCGCACCCAGCGCAAACGAAGGGGAAGGCACTCACTCCCACCACTACTCCACTCGCATCACTCCCCTCAAACCCGTAACCCGTACCTTCCCCCTTCACTCGAACTCCCCCCCTCCCTCAAACAAACACAACCCGCCACTTCACCTGCTCCAATCAGCAAACGGCGAATATTTCACTGCTGGTCGAATCCGGCAGTCACCTCGCGAAGCGGGAACCTTGCTTTCTTTCTCACTCGAGCCTTTCTTCACCCGTGGTTCACCTTTTTGCACCGGTTAACAACGAACGCGGAAACCTAAGATTTTACGACTACTACTGCTACTTGAGCATAACTCACGCATGCAAAAGTAGCGGAGTAACGCTACAACTACAGCTACACACCTACGTTCACATCACACGACCCTACGAAAGAAAGAAAAGCGAATATGGCGGAACTCGTGACGAATCTCCGGCCGTACGAGTTGGATGGCGCTCTGGAGCGTGATGGCGAGGGTGAGGACTGCTTCGTGCTTGATGTTGGGGCTGATGGGGAGGGTGGGCCGGTTGAGTCTGTGAAGTGGGTGGAGCGGGTTGTGGAGGCGCGGATTGCTTGTGGTGAGGAGGTGGGTAGGGGGGTTAGGAAGGTGTATGTTGTTGGGGAGTGGAGGAGTGCTGTGGATGAGGAGGAGGTGGGGGATAGAGAGCATGAGGTAAGTGTTTGTTACTTTTCGTTGAGGGGATTATAGGGAGTAAGAGAGGTACTGATGCTGCTGCAGTTTCATGGGAAGAGCAAGTCTGAGCGGGAGTGGGAGGAGGCGGTGGGAAAGATTGCGAAGATGATTGAGAAGATGCCTGGTTTGAAGGAGTTGACGTAAGTTCTCTCTTCATCCTTTCAAGGGTTATTTGTTAACACGACGCAGCTGGATCGCGGGTATCCCCTTCATGAGCGTAGTCTGGGAGACGCTCCCCACATCCCTTACGAAGCTCGTTCTCGATCTCGGCCAGCCCATCCGCATCGAGCGGGATGGCGACATCGAGTACAAGTCGTACATTACGCAGACGGATATGCGGCCTCTTGTCCAGCAGACCGAACTTAAGGAGCTCCGGCTGTTCCGTATGCACGACTCGATGCAGTCTGTTGTCTGGGAGACTATATTTATGAATGTGTCCGAGAGTGGCATGCGTGTTGCTGACTTGCAGATGGCTGCTGAGCCGCTTGTTCGTGCGACGCACTGGCATAAAGCTGAGGATGTGAGGGGCTTGACGGTTCCGAAGCAGGACTCTAATGAGAAGGAGTACAAGTGAGTTGGAATTCTCTAGCCCTGAGTAAGATGATGTTGTCTAACCAGAGGCTTTGGCAATTTTCAGGGGCATCGAAGGAAAGGGTGTTTTACACCACTCGTTCGGCATGGGCGAATATCTCGATGCTTTCTGCATGCGCAAGGCACGTATCGCTGCAGGTCTGGATGAAGCTAAGCCACTTCCACTGTGGTAAGTGGTGTTGATCTTGAAGAAAGAGTGTAAGCCATCACTGACATGGTTGACTAGGTGCCTTAAGCTTGACGGCTTCGTTGTCGATTATCTTCCTTTTGAGCATGAACTTTCTCGCATCTCCTTGCTGACCTGCGGTAAAAACTGCATTGATAGCGGCCTGCGAGCTCCGAAGACCCCGCTTACTCCCCACAATGGATGGAGCAAGATTTTCAACTGTGCCATTTCGCGCTGTCTTGTTCAGTGGCCCAACTGGACTGGAACCTTTGACGATCATGGCGATCAGCATGACAACCATGGCCAGATTGTCTCCCAGGAAACTGTCCTTTCGACCCCAGCCAATGGACCGCTGTCGCCTTCTCCGATGCCCTTGACAAAGACAGCACTTCAGATGAAGGAAGTGGGAGATGCCATTGACAGTATTATCAAGAAAGGAAAAGGCCCTCCTAGCCTTTCAAAATCTCTTTCGCTGATAGGCATTGAGGCGCCGTTAAGCATGGCTTCAGACGTGTCGGTCTGTGGTTCTGATGTCGCTACGCCAGCTGCCGGCTCAGTGTCTCCAAACTCTCCCAAGATGCCTACGGTCGACGGCTCAGCCACGTACAGTAATGCCGCTTCGATGGGTGCCAGCCTAACCTTAGTTAAGAGCGCCAATACGGTGCAGTCGGGCATATCTACTGATAGCAGCTTCGACAATGTGAGCCCAGTGGATGGTTTTGCAGCCAACGGCTTCGACAGCATAGCGCCTAAGGAGAAGACCATGCCCAAGACTAGCGGCTTCAAGCACAAGGTAAGACGATCTTTGGACTGGCTTTCCAGCTCGCGTTCTGATTCTGGCGAAACTGTTTGATTCTGGCGTGGAATTACTCAATTTTATTTGTTTTGCGGGCGGTGGAATTTCATCATTATCACGGGGCTGACACTAGGGAGTGAGGGACATGTAGAGGGTTTGCTGGCAACAGCATGATATGCCCTTTGATTGTCTCTTTTCTCTACTTTTTTTTTCAGGAGCAACTACTGAGGAATGGACTGAGCTGGAGTCATGGGGGGACAACGGAGAATTTGACGACACTACGACGCACATTCAGGGCTTTTCGCAGCACTTGGGTGGTCGGGAGATTGTGGTTCGGGAATGGCGTTGTGGCAGAGGAAGGGAGGCCTTCTGGTCTGTGTCTATGTCTGTGTGCGATAGTCCAAGACGCGTGGAACACAGTCTTCGAGTCTTGGACAGGGTATCGCGTGTGCTCGAGGCAGATGATAGGCGATGAGTTAATTGGCGCATTCAACATGGGATTCCTAGGTTTATAGAAAAGCAGACTTTGCCGTATTGGCGCTAGCTATGGTGGACCTGTGCTGCTGGCACGTATGCAGGCTTCAGGAGCCGACATGATGTGTATGGCTGCAGACACTGTACCGCTGAAGGGGCGCAGTGCGGTGTGAGGCGTAGCCGCCGTTGGAGGACATAGAGGTGCATACATGGCTAGAGGTTCAGTACAGTAGTCGGCGTGGGTGAAGGGTGCAAGTGCAGGGAGATGGGTGTGACGTTTGGTTTGGAGCCAGTGGACGCGGGCCGCTCCTTCCTGCTCGCACGGAGGGCCGCCGATTGGGCAGGCGCGTGTGGGAGGGCGGGGAGCAAGCGCGATGAGGTAATTGCGGCGAAGAAGGGAGTTGCTGTACTGTAATTCTACTAGGTGCATATGTATATATGGAAGTATACAAGTATACGCGCAAGTCGATACATCTGGGGACGACTGATCTACCTGCACATCCTCACTTGTGTACGTAAGCCGGACGGGGGCGGTGTTGTTCCCTGCTTTGCTGGTGGCGGTCGCTAATCACACTTGGTCATTCCGCTTTCCGTCTTGCGCTGTACCTTGGCCAAACCGCCCCCATGTCCTCCATGCCCGGCTTAGCACAACAAGCACGATGAGTTGGCAATCCATCGTTGCCGTCACCGTCACCGAGCACCACGGCTGCTGTTAGGGCACCACCCGCCCCTCGTAGCCGTCGAGTCGCCTTGCATGCCTGTTGTGCTGCACACCGGCCAGTGCGACTCCACTTGACCCAAGTTCCATTACCCTCGGTCGCATCTGCTACTACTGCTACTACTGCTGCTGCTACTGCTGCACACCCGGTGATCCTCTGCGCCCTCGACCAGCCGCCGCTCTCCCCAAAAGGACCGCGATCGCTCGGCTGCCTGCCTTTGATGCCCACTTGATCCCACGCTGTTGTCTTCTCCAGTCACTCGTTTTATTCGATATCGCTTTCCCCGGGCGCCGCGCTTCCGAGCGCTGCGGCTGAAGGTCCGCCTCCAATCCGGGCGACGTTTGGCTTCGTCCATAACACAAAAACCCTGACATATCGGGGCACCAACTGGCGCGCCTTCGCCTTGCGACGACGCCTCAGCGCATGCGTGTCAAGTCGACTCGTACGTTTAGCATCCGCGCGCAATTCGCTGTTCTGTTTTGTCCAAGTGTCGGTGAGAGGTGTAAGTCGACATTCATGATGCTTTCCCAGCCACCTCCCAGCCCTTTCACCTTGCACCCCCCAACCTCCCGGTCACTCGCGCGTACACTCGCCCCCCGGCCGCGTACCAGCAATGGCTCCTCTGTTAGCAATCCCCCCAGTCTCTGTGTCTAATCCCCTACTTTGCAGCCAGCCTTCGTGCATTTCCGCTATAAGCAGCCCTTCGTGTGCCGCTTAGCTTGTCCCCCCTCCCCTCGAGTACCCGCCGCCGCCGCCGCTGCTGCTGCTGCTGCTGCTGGCGCATCTAATTCCAACCCGGCGGGTGCCTTCTCGACGGTTCAAGGGCAATTGAGCCCTGCGCGCTGGTCCCTGGCCTCACGGTGACGTCCAGCGGTCCATCACCGCCCGCAAACATATTTCCCTCTCACGACTCATCTTCACGAGACCACGACCGAAACGCGCCAATAGCCTTTCCCGAATATCGTACCTCGCTCCAGCTACGCCAAGACCAAGCGGAAGCCTTCTATCGCACGCAGCACAATCGCTCAAGAGCCTCAAGCTCTACCGGTAGTGTCGCAAACAGCCTCCGCCGCACGCCAAACTTTGAGCGCGCCAGGTCGGCCGAACCGGGCCAGCAGCAACAGCGTGTTCGGTTCGAAACACCTCGCCCTTACTCTACAGAACCTCATCCTGCCCTTCGAATCAGTCGGCGTACTGCATCGGCAATACGCTTCGTGCTCGAAGAGGCGCTTCGCGTCCCACATCCATTCACCCCGGACCTGGTTGAAGAAAACGCCCAAATGTCAGACTTGACGAGTGGGCGCGCTGCCAATGGCGGGGCCCGTACAACTGGTGGTCCCGTGCCTGTCGATCGCTCCAATATCCGCACCCCTACGCAGATCATGAACGCTAGGCGGCAAAGGGCTGAAGTGGAGGAACAAAGAAAAGCCGCAGAGGAGGAACGCAGGAGAGCCAGCGTGGAAAGAAGAGCTCAAGCTGTTTCTGGTGTAGCTGGAGCACCCACAACAGAAGCCGGAACCCAGAGGCAGCCTCAAGCAGCTCCAAGACCCGGCGATCAGTACGTACAATATCCGGCATCGTCTGGGGGAGTGCCACGTCAGCCCGAACGGCCCCTTCCACCCCAGGGTACAATGAACGATCCACAAGATGCAACAACGGGCGCGTCGCAGTCGAGGCCAAGGGCCGCTACGCAAAGCCAGCAGTCGACTCGGCCTACCCAGGCGAATCTCGGCGTGCCGACTACTGCAGAGCCAGGCAGGAGACCACCTGGCGCGGGCCATGCTAGGCGCCCTTCTGCTCCTCCAACCTCATCACAACCAGCACCGTCGGCGGCTGCACAGGCGCGCGCACCGCCTGCGCCAGGTTCGGCTACTGGACAAGCTCGCGAATCAACAACGTCAAATTTTCCACATGCTTTTGAGCGCTGGGAAACCCTCTCTTCGCATTGGGAAGGCCTGACATCGTACTGGATCCGCCGGCTCGAACAGAATACCGATGAGGTCCGTAGAGAGCCGTTGGCTCAGCAATTGTCGCGGCAAATCACCGATCTCTCAGCTGCTGGCGCCAACCTGTTTCATGCCGTGGTGGAATTACAGCGGCTGCGCGCGTCTTCGGAGCGCAAGTTCCAGAGATGGTTCTTTGAGCACCGCCAGGACCAGGAAAGGGCGCAGGAGCGTGAGGCGCAGTTAACAGAGCAGATCAATGCGGAGCGCGAGTTGCGTCTTGAGGCTGAGGCAAATCTCGAGCGCATGGCCACCGAGAAGAAGAATGCGGAGCGGGCCGTGTCGGAGATGAAGCGCGAGTTGCAAATCTCCAAGGAGGAGGCTCGCCGAGCGTGGGAAGAGCTTGGGAGACGGGAGCAAGAGGAGCGTGATCGCACATTTTCGCTAAGGGAGGGTCAGCCTACTCTCGTTGGCGGTGTGCAGGTGGTTCCAATGGCGCAGAACATGGGACGTGGAGGAAGGGGCCATGGCGATGATACCTACGGCGGTGCACAGAGTGGGTCAGGCATTGAGCAACACTATTCTTACGAAGAGGGTCCTCAATCGCCGACCGATACTGATCCCTTTACCGAGGGTGGTCGGCATGGCCAGCGAGAGACCGATATGCCTGCTCCTTTGTCTCAAGGGACTTATGTTCCGTCAGGCGCGGCTTCGAATACCTCCTCGCGACCAGGCGGCGCCAGCTCTGTTGGAGATTCTGCGCTATCTCCAGCTCCTCTGCAGTATCCGTACTACACGTCTGAAGCGCAGCGAACTCCCACCCAGCCCGCTATGTCGCAACCTGAGGCGTTTTACCAGCAACCGGCGTCATATCTGCACCAAGAGTCGGAATCTGGTGTGCCAGAGGACGTACAATCCTATGTCACATCTCAAGCAGAAGAGTCGGAGGCTGATGTCGAGTTTGTCCTTGATGAGAGAGGCAACTATGTCCGCGATGATTCGGGTCGCCGTATCCCATTTCGGTCTATCCAGTCGCCTGTCTCTGACGAATACGACGTAGAAGACGCCCGTCGACGTGAGCTCGAGCATCTGCAGCACTACGGCTCAGCTGCCACATCTCAGGGTGGCTATGCAACAACTTCAAGTGCGTCATCTTCACATGGCCAGGGTTACGCTACCGCTGGAGGTCAACCGGACTACAGCGGCGATGGATATGGTGACGAATGGGTGGGCATGAGACATCACCACCCCACGAGGTTGAGCGATGTACCAGAGGAAGATGAGCGAAGTCGGACTTCCCCCAGCCGAGCGAGCCAGGCCAGTCGAGGACGTCTATACTAGATGAACGATGGACCACCTCCTGTCCACAAGGCAGGCAACCGTTGTTGCTTTACAAGAGAGAGAGATTGCGAGAACTCGATACCTCATGCATGAATTTTTTGGTCCCTTTTTTCCCGGTCGATTAGGAGAGGAAACCGTTTGTCTTTTATCCCTGGTACGCGCGCACGCTCGCAACGCTCGTCGCGCAATTTTAATCTGATCAGCATGGCATATGTTTTTTTACAAAGCGAAGCATACTGTTATTTTCCCGCCCTCTCCACTACCACAAACCACCAATCATCATCCTCCTACTCACATAGACGTTGTTGTCTTATCTGTCTTGTCTGTCTGCGCGCGCTGCTTTGCTCGATAATTATATACCCTTTCTTATATGAAGGATTCCACCCCTCCTATTACCACCACCACCAAGAGAAAAAAACTTTTTTTCTGGTCTAATTGAGCATGTTCTATATATATTATATACCCCTCTCTCTCCTCTTCAGAAATTCGAGGGCGCTGGGAGGGGCAAGTTTGGTCCGACCTGAGTTAATGGATTACTGAGTTTTTGCATGTGTAATTTGCGAAAGTTTTGAAATCAAAATTCCCTGTATTAGTAGTGGTTTATTTGTCTTTTTTGGTTTTATGTGTTTTTGGGATTGGGGGAGAGTTTGGTCTTGCGGCGTTTGAAAGCCATGCATGGTGTTTTTAGTTGGGGTTATCATCCTTTTTTTTTGGACCGACTCGGGGGGTGTAAGTTGGTAATTTTGTTGGGCGCCTGGTTTTGGTAATGAGGGAGGGTTAGGGAGGGGAGGTCATTGTGTTTGCGTATGAATAAAATGTTTGGATTAGGATGTTTAATGATGAAGTTTGGTTGATGCATTTTTTAATAAGTTGGTGGTGTTGAAGGGGGAGGGAACGAGTGTAGTGATTGAGGTGTAATAAGGGAAACTGATAGAGATTTCATGGCACGGCATCTCTCCACTATTTCATATCAACAAAACAGCATCTCTTTATTTCTCTTGTGAATTTTCGGTAGTAGTGTATTTCATATCAGTTCAATCAAACATGAAGAAAATGACAACAACAAACACAACCGTTCCCCTCTCCCCATCCTCAACCCCTCACAACTTGGCCGCAGCCCTCAAAACCGTACTATCCATCCTCCTCCCCTCATCATCCTGCTCCTTAACCCTCAAATCCGGAAACTCCTCCGGCATAATCCTCCTTGGCCTACTCCCAGGTACAACACTATACCCCTCAAACTCCTCCACCCCCCTCTCCCTCAGAAAATCCTCATCAAGCAACAACCTCCCATTAACCTGTTCGACAGGCGCTTTGATAATCTCCCTAACCGCATCTGAGAAAATGCTCGGCGTCCTTAACTCACTCGCCTGCTCCCTCGCCAGATTCTGCGTCGCCGCACTCTGAATCGCCGTGGCAGGCCAGATACTAGTCACCACCATATCCTTTTTACCTTCACGCGAAAAATCCATGGCGAGACCCATAGTCAAAACCGACATTCCCACCTTCCCAACCGCATACGCTGTCTTTCCCCGAAAAAACCTCGAGTAAATCGGCGGACTAACAATAACAATTCTACCTTGCCACTCCCCGTTTTCTTGCTGGAAATGCGGTAGACAGGCTTGCACGACGCCGTAGAGGCCCTCGACGTTTACGCGCTGCATGAGTTGGAAGCGCTTCATGGGGGTTTTGGCGACGGAGGACCACCAGATTGCGCCGCTGTTGTAGACGAGCACGTCGAGGCGGTTGTAGGTGGAGAGGGTAAGGGCGATGAGGGATTCGATGCTGGCGTAAGAGCGTGTGTCGACGGGGATGGGTGTGGCTTCGCCGCCTGCTTCGCGGATTTCGCGGGCGACGGTGGATATGGTGGAGGCGGGGGAGTTGGGGTCCGGAGGGAAGGGGGTAGTGGTTGAGGCATCCGAGGTGGATTTTGCGGCTACGATGACTGTGTGGGGGTGGTTGTGGGTTAGCTTCTAGTTCTTCTTCTTCTTCTGATTATCCTTCTCTTTTGGTGTTCCCTTTTGGATCTGATGATTCAAGATTTGTCTGGTTGAAGTTGTACACTTGCTTCCTTACCTGCATAGCCATCTTTAGCCAGGTCGATAGCAATTTGGCGACCAATGCCTCGAGAAGCGCCGACCACGAGCGCAACTTGCTTGGTAGACTCTGGCATGATTCGTCTTTGATTGTCTCAAAATACTAATAACTGAGGATGGACAGAATATTCATGCTTGTGGCCCTTGCTTTAATGGCACATGGGCAAACGACCGTTACATAGAGTCAGTGAATTGCCAGATTTATAATCAGAAAGTCAATTAGAGGCGAGCGGCCTCGGTGTTGAGATCGGATGAACAGTCCGTAATTCCAATAGTTACGCGTTGTGCACAAATCCGGGGTATCGGCATCTACCGTTTTGACGCGTGCGGAGAGGTGGAGTGGTTGGTGGGCGATGATTACTGATGATAAGCTCTGATGAACCTCGGCAGCCAAGACTGCCAGGGTCACGTCGCGCCGACGGGCGACGCTCATAACTTTCGTGATAGAATCCATCTCGTTGCGATTAATAACTAATTCGCCGATACTGAAAAGCGGAGAAATCACGAAAATGCCGGGCAAGATTACGTGCTATCTGGACTGCGGTATGCTTTGTCACTCTCTCTGGAACCCTAATGAATTCAACGTCACATGCTAATTGCGTATCGCATAGTATCTCCATACTCATACTTCGCTCTGCTTCATCTTGAACGAAACAGATCGATTCTCGAAGCACACAATATCGAAATCGAGTGAGTCTGTCTATCTTGTGGCACCGCGGCGAAATTACCTTGATTCGACGACCTCAAACATGACCAACGGCATCATGCCTCTCCCAAAAGCAAGCGCATGGCTGACTAGCTTTTGACAGTATAGTACCCGTCTTCCTAGGCGGCATCAATGCCGGCAGCGGTAAGTATTACCCGTTCCCCAGCGTATCAGCACCTGCAGAGGCTGGTTCATGCCGATAAGATGGATTCTAACACTGAGACTTAGGCAACAAGCCTCCGTGGACCCTCGAGGCAAAGGCAAAGTATAGCAAGTATGATACCAAGCGGGCAAAAGAATACTTTGGAGTACCCGAGCTACAAGTCCCGCCATTTTTTCCCATCGTGTCCTTGCTACCACAGCGGGCGCTGTGCCATGTGAAAGAGTCACATGCCGAGCATTTTGTGAGCATCTTCCTTGACATCTTCACTGCTATGTGGAAGAACCATAAAGATTTCAGTAAACCAGAGGTCCTTGCAGAGGTGCTTCAGCTGCGGCTGAAGGAAGACCAGGTCCGAGATGTATTGGCAAATGCAAGCAGCGCGCCGTTCAAGCAGCGTCTCAACGACAACACAAAGGAAGCGCTTGATAAAGGCGCGTTTGGCTGTCCATGGTTCTCTGTCCGGAACTCGAAGGGAAAAGAAGAACCTTTCTTTGGTAGTGACAGGTGAGTGCCCCCTCGCCCATCTCCTCGTTGTCTCGGCGCCTTGCCGCACTTTGTATGCCCGTTCGCGGGGGGACAGGGAAAGCTGAATGGCGACGGGTATATCCGCGTTTAGCAAGGCTTCCGCCCCAGACAAGGGCTGTTATAGTGTGTGACCAGAAAAGCGTGGGTTATGAAACACGGCAGACGATCGGTAGAGAGATGCCAGGTATGCTGACAGATGTGCTGTCTAGGTTCTCTTACATGTGGGAATTTCTCGGGTTGCCGTGGAAGGACGTTGAACTGCTGTCGCCTGGTAATCAGAAGGCAAAGATTTGATGTAGAGTATTCTTCAAAGCTTATGAATGGGTCGGCGCATGGGTGTAATCGCGATAGGGCGTTGGTGCTTGAGGCGCGAGGTCGCATGGCGGGCTGTGGTAGATGTGAATCCAGACAATTCTGCGACATTAGTTCAAGTGTCTTTCATCTCAGACTTGCTCCCTGTCATTCAAGATTGCATCTTTGTCTCTCCTTCACTGGTCAGACATTCTCCTCACCCCGCCTGTGTGTATACACCTTCTCTCTGGCTCCTATACCCTCGCACTGCCTATGCACGCTGCACTGGCGCTGTTGTGTACTTGCGCTGTGAAGTGGATCGTGTGGCCACCGGAGGCGGATACGAACTTCCCCAGAAATATGCAATAATATGCAAGATAAAGTCTCCGCGACCTGTCCAGGTGGCGCCGCACGCCACCCGAGACGGCATGCCGGGCATGCTAGGGCCATGTCTCACATGTTCTGTACAACGACCGTCGCGTTGGCCACTGTTGGCCGTGAGAATGCAGCCTGCCGATGTTATAGAGGTATCAGGCGAGACGGGAGGGCAGGCTGGTATACATATGTGTGCGCGTTAACGTGGTAGTGACTCTCTAGTCATGGCGGTGCATCGAAACAGAGAGGGGCGTCGTCAGCATCGGGTTAGGTGTTAATAGATACACACACAGGCTTTGTTGCCTTTGGCCAACCAGGAGTAGAAACATGAGACTGTAATGGATAAGAGTAGCATTGCTTCCGCGGAGGATGATGTGCCGATCCAGAGGTGATTGCAAGCCTCGTGTGTAACGTGTTGGCATAGTTGACGACATGTCTGGTACGCACAAGGCTCTTGCCGATCAAGCGTACACCATGGCATCAGAAGTTATACGTACCTGCATCTCCAGATTCCATGGCCTCTGGTCTGCTCTTCCACTGGTGTATCTGGCGAACTGCTTGCTGCCAAGCAAGGTCATGCAGTCAACCGTTCGCTTCTGCGCATCAGCCAAACAAGACGACGTAGAACATTTCCCGCCAGCTCAGTTGGCTCTAGACGAGCGAATCCTTACTCGATCTGACGTTTGAGCCATCGCAATCATAAGTCTGCTAGCCGCCTGCTGGGGAGGGCTGAGTCCATATCTCTTCAAGATTGCTAGTATTTGCCTGTCCGCAGCTAGCCACGTTGGAAATGTCAGTGGACCAGGGCAGCAGTGCCACTTTCTGAGCGACATCAAGATTGGTTCCAAATTCTGCCTCTGTGTGCTAAACAAGCCAGTACAGCTCACTTCGCAGCCCGACTGCTGCACATTTCCGCCATGCGGTTGCGTAGCTTTCACGGTTCTGTGACTACATGCCATGGCGGGCCTACCCGAGAGCCCAGGCCCTGTCTTTCCGGCCACCATAGTATAATGGAACACGGGCATCGGATGTGGGTGCTGAGTGCTTCAAACGCGAGTCTCATAGCTTCAGGCGCAGCAGGTCGGGACTGTCTTACAATATAAACGTGTCGACCATCACTCCAACCCCCATGCTTACGCTCTCATGTAATTGGACTTGTTTCATCGCCTGGCTTCGGCTTCGTCTCTGCGCTCTGTCTTGCTAGTGTACGATCCAACTGTCATTTTACTGCTGATTTTTCTTCTTCGCTGTCCAGGAGACTCGTCCCACGAGTCACAGTGCGCCAGGAGATACCCTAGAGTGTTTGTATCTGCTCATGCGACCACTGCCGCGGCATTTGCCCATCTTTCGGTTCTTCTGACATCTCGTGGCAGTTCGTGGTTAGGCAAACCTCATTCAAACATCCTCCCTCCAGTTAGCGAGCTAATGATGTGTATCGACTAGGTGCCTTGCGCTGTCCTCCTATTGTACCATATAGGTACCAGGGCCAGCCTTTCTGCACTTGACACCGGCCATTCACACCAAAAGGCCCACACGTTACATTACCATTGCTGTCTTTGGCACAGCGCAGCAGTTCTTCACACTGTTCAAAGTCCCGCAATTTTACCGCCTGTGGGAAGCTCGACCGCATTGAGCGAATAAGCGGCGTCACGCAGTGAATGCTGAACATACCTGTGGACCTCGACGCATCCACGCCACCCCGCAATTCCAGCGACGCACACTTCACAGGCACCGAACCTCGCAATCGTTTCTTTCGCCTGACTAAACATTCACTGCGACTTCGGCACGTGTTGTAACTGCATCCGCCCTGGTCATCGCCATAAGAAGCGCTTGTCGCACGCGCAACCATGACGGACGCTCAAGCACTTGCCCAGCGCTACAGTATAGATGAACATTTTCTGTTCCGTCAATCCTGCTCTTTGTCACAGCCCTGCTTGTCCTGTATCGACCAAGCCGCAGCAGCCTTGCCTCATTTCAACAGCGGCCATCAGGATCTCGTCATGGCACAGTCAATGCTAGTAAGTGATCATCGAATCGGAGCGTCCTCATAGTTGACGAAGATACAGGTAGATCAGTATAGATCTGATAGCCACATGCAGTGTCAGTCCTGGCCATTGCAGCCGGCGCCGGCAGACGATGTCAAGCCATCAGGCACCGCGCCTGTGGGCTCGAGCCCCGGCATGGCATACTCATCAGATCGCAGCTGGAGTGGCGCAGCCAGTGTCTCAACCTCTTTTGACTGTCACCAGGTCATCCAACAAGTTGAGCCATACATCTTACGCCAATCGGACTCCCAGTTTGGCCAGAATAGCGACGTGATGTACAATCACCTTGCCGCCCAGAATGCCATCCCCAAAGGCTGTGGGTATGCCGCGCCGGCAACAAGGGCGCTGGCTCATTTGAATGGGCTGCCACAAGGAGAAAACCCCATCTTGTCTACTGCAGCCATGCGTACATCCATATCGCCAAAGAGTTTCACTAGCGACGAGTTCGACAACTCTTACAGCCCAGAGTCAATGCCGGATCAAGCCTCACCAAGTTACAACTGGGATACAACTCCGATGTATTCTCCGAATACAGTCGTGCCATCACTCAAGCACGAAACTTACTATGCTGATGCCGGACTTAGTGGCATGTCGCAAATGGAGGGTACTTTAGGCTTGTCCCTTGCTCTTTCCACAGACCATACTGCACGAGGACAGACTATCCAGATTCCCAGAAAGGGCCCGGTATCTGCGCCTGAGCATTGTTACTCGCATGCCAGCAATCAGGGCGCGTCTCCATGGTGTAATCCGAAATATTTCTCATCCGCAGATATTATATGGGGCATGCAGTCCCACTCACCTATAGAGACTGAGTCGCACGTTGCACCCACCCAGGATCGCATCCTGCCTCGATTCCAAGCCCCTCGTAGGGCTAGTACGCAAGGTCAACGCGAGCGCAACGACCGAGTGCTCATCGAGGGCAAGAAGAGGGGCGAGACATACAAAGAGATCAAAAAGAAGTTGATCGGGGAGGATCCTGCGGAGTCCACTCTGAGGGGACGTTATCGCTCCTTGACCAAAGACCGGAGGGACCGTGTCCGTAAGCCTGTGTGGACAAAGTTTGATGTAAGAAAGCCCCAAGAATCTAGCCAGAGCTTTACTAATGCTTCCTTAGACAGAGTTATTGAATGAAACTGTTCGGCAGGAGTTGAAGCGCATCGAAAGCAATCTGCAGAACCCATCCGCGTTGAGCATTGAGCAGAAGCTCATGAAGGTCTCCTGGAAGAAGGTAGCCGACTATATCGAGGAAAATGGTGGATCATACCACTTTGGCAATTCGACTTGCAAGAGGAAGTGGCTGGAGTTGAATCCGGCCTGTGAGTAATTACTGGCAGATCCGAAACGACTGAGGCCGTGCCGAACACGGCACGCATCTCTGGTAAACTTGATGGCTGTCAGGTTATTTTTATATTTTGAGGGGGTTTCCTGCTTTGCAACTTGAGGCTCTTTGAAGCCCCTTTGCCTTTGCTAGGCAGTAAGCACGATGATGCGAGGCACTGGGCTGTTGCAGGCCCAGCGATAACCCCTTGGCGTGTTTCCCATCTTGTCAAGTCTGGAGTTTTTCTCTTTGCGGTCTGTACCACTACGTATTGTCATTTTGTCGGTTGTAATGTCTTTTAAAGCCTTCGCCCCTTATCATCCTGCGGGTGCAAGGCAGCCCCAACTGCATAGATGGGAAAGCTGCAAAGCGAGGCGACTGGATGTTGCCACACAGGAGGTTTTATTGAATAGGATCCTGTATACTATACCCTTTTACAATGCAACAAGTCTTAGAAGACATCTAGAAGTCAGCCTGTCATGGGTATTTGTAATGATGATAGTAAGGATTCGTGTGACAGTAGTGGGTTGATGATGAAGAACGTAGCGCTGAAGTGTGACGTTGACATTTGCGCTACGTACGTACCTTCCTAGTACCGCTAACTCCGAACCCAAAGCTTAAATCATCCCCACCTTCAACACCTGCATCGTTCCGCCCTCCCTCATGAGAATGTCACTCGAACTAGCAGAAGCTCTCCCGAGCATTGTGAAGCGCAAATTTGAAGCTGCAAAAGCCTCGTCAGATCTGATCTTCTCACCAACAGACGTGGCACTCATCCGCACGTCAAATGGCATTCCTGCAAGTCATATACAAGCCACTGCACCAAACATACAGCTTATGAAGTCTCAGTTTCAACTGCGCTATTGCCCTTCACTAGCAAAGAAGCCTCTACCGAAACTTGCGGGTGCCACGCCCAAGCAAAAGATTGACCCCTTCGAAAACCCGCCAGAAGCACTACACCTTGTTGACATCCCGACCACGAACCCCACGCATTTTCTCGTACTCAACAAGTTCCCGATAATATCTCAGCATTTCATTCTCGCCACAAAGCTAAACAAGAAGCAAACACACGTGCTGGAGCAAGATGATCTGGAAGCGACATACGCTTGCTTAAAGGCATGGCACGAGGAGGGAGACGAACCACAGAGGCGCCTTCTCGCCTTCTTCAACTCGGGAGAGCATAGTGGCGCGTCTCAACCACACCGACACCTACAGTTTCTACCGGTAGAACGCATGCGCGACACTGAAAAGACCAATGGCTGGAACATGCTCATAGACCTAATACTATCGTGCCAGGAAGCCAACCCACCAGGTAAGTCCTCACGAACACTATCTCCTTTCGAAACAGCTAAGACGCACTTGCAGACACCCCAGCCGGGCTATTACAGAACCCTCGGCTCCCCTTCACACACTTTGCTCAGCCCTTCGATTCGGAACCCTCAGGCCCCCAGCTACTTGATATGTATAACCGGTTGTATAAAGAAGCAAAAGCGTCGGTCGAGGCGTTCGTCTCGTCACACCCAGATCAGCTTGCTTTGCACCCAGTCGAAAACGGCGATTTACCAATCAGCTATAACCTCGCCATGACCACGGCAGGCATGGTCATCTTGCCCCGCCGTGCAGAAGGTACCATGCTCCACGGCGACGACGGCAGTGAGATTGGCTTCGTCGCACTCAATGGCACAACATTAGCTGGTACCATGATGGTTAAGAACCAAGGCGAGTGGGATATGCTAAGAAGTCAGCCTGGACTGCTTGACTCCATTCTCGCCGGCATCGGCATTCCCAAAGCCGCTGCTACGGCTAAATTCGGTGCTTCAAATATATGACGATTGGATTCTCATGGTTGATTGTGCGAAATACCCGGTAGCAATTTAGGAAGAGAAAAAGAATAGATGAGTATGACAGTGGGTTGCTTCTCATAGTGCCTTTTCTTCTTTTCCTCCAATATGAAACACAGAGAGAGGATAGGCTGTTCGGTTCCGATAACCACATCAAGAACCATGTTTGATTGGGAAAAAGAAATAAGAATTTCCATCTTTCTGATATTGGGTACCGCATTTCTGGAAAACGAAATGCAAGCTGGCTTTGAACAATACATGAAAAAAAAGGGTTATCACAAGAAAAATCAGGCTATGATGCCCCCAAGCAGAAAACAAGCTGTTCCTCGCGCCCGCTACCATGCAGAATGATGCCTTCCCAGCTCTCCATCTCCCAGCATTTACAGTTGATTGACGCCATAGACCTTGTCCATCTCTTTTTATTCTTGGGCCGACACAACCAATGGGCCCCGCAAGCCGTCTAAGCCCTGCTCGCAAGCATGCGGTCCACAAACTGGGTATAAAAGTTACGCCATTCCTTCTCTTTCTTTGGGCCTTCGAATGAGCCTGCGAGCGTGCGCAGATATTGGTCTTGAACATCTTCGCCAATGCCCATGCCGCTGAGATCCCCCTTGAGACGCTCCGCATATGATTCACCAACCTTCTTGATAATTTCGTGCTGGAGATTCGCCGTTTCATACAAGACTTGTCGCGCTTGCGCATCTTTAGCGTTGAAACCTGGGGATGCTGGGATGGACCATGCCAATGGCGCAAACTTCTCTACTACGTAGTTGTCGAAACCTGGTAATGGTGCTTGTGTGGTGTCGGGCGAAGTAGGCGTGGCATTTGCGCCAGGTCCAACCTTGTCAGGTCCGCCCCAGACAGATACCATGCGGATGAGCACAAAGATTGCAAGGCGCGCAGTTTGGTAGTCTTGCGTATCTCGTGCGAATGTTTCAATGGAAGAAATGATGGGTTCGAAAGTCCCTTGGTTTGCTTGGTAACGTTAGCAATGAAATAACAACTTCTCCATACTCCTCAACCTACCGTTACTAACGAGCACAGACCCGAGGCCATTGTTGAGAACAACAACAATAAAGTTCAGATACTCTCGACGAAGTTCAGCGAGCTGGATCTCATCGTCTGTGCCCGAAGGGACCACGGCTAAGGCGGTGAAGATGCGCTGCAAGACTGGACTCATGACAGTATCCAGGATGCCGGCGATTTCTGATTTGAATGTGAAAATGACTTGACCAAGAACCTTAAGGAATGTGCTGATCTCATCCATCGACGAACTGAGTGACAGCAAGCCTTCGATCCATGATGGTAGCTGCTGTAGCAATCGCGAGCCCAGAACAGCAATCATACGTGAGAAGGCAAAGCGTGCCGCATGACGGATAGAGCTAGACGAGTTCAGCGATTCGACAGCGACGAGGATAGCCTCGGACGCTTTGACAAACTCGTCTGCAACCTCACTGTGTGGGACAGCGCTGTTGTTGTTCGAAGGAACCCAGTCGGAGTAACCGCGTGCTAGTGTTCCCAAAGCCATGATGATATGATGAATCTGTAGTATGGCCCGCTCATCGCCGTTTCTTGCTTGGGGAAGGGTCTTTTGCAGATCCTCGAATAATGGACCCATGATGGTTTGTGCGTACAACTTCTTGTTTTCCACTGAAACAGTGCTTGACGAGGCGATGCATCCAACAGCTTCGAACAGGTACAGCTGTGAATTGAATAGCGCATCTGCGGATTGGTCTTCTTCGTCGGACGACATTTCATCTTCTGAATTGTCAGGCAGCTCGGCTTTGATTGTGAGCAAGTCCCCGACCGCTTGGATGATATCGTATGATACATTGCCCAATTGAGCTCGTAGATGTTTGACTAGACGTTGGAAAAGATACCAGGACCTTGAGCGAACCTTGAGGTGTTCACTGTGGGTGAGACTGACAAAGTTTTCAAGGACTTTAGGGATAAGTCCGGGATTCTGCTCAAAGAACTGATAATAGCGAACGCAAATTTCCATGTACTGTAATTGAACAGCAGGATGCGGATAGTTTGCAAGGCCAGACTCTACCATGCTATTCATCATAATAACAAGTTGTTGAGCAGCCGCAGAAGAAGGCTCGCGCTTCGCATAAAGTCCCTGATTCCGGATAGCGAGTTCCCCAAACAGAAACATCTCGTGTAGGGCCAATTCGAGGTCGCGCCAATTCAATGACTGATCCCCTTGTGACAAACGTCCAAATGTTCCGTTTACTAGGCGGCTGAGCGTTTCGATGTAGTAGGCCTCGTCGATGGCGGTCACCGTCTGTTGTAGAACATGAAGACGCCGTCGGAGATCCAGGAATTCTGCTTCATCGGTCTGCTCGCCCTCTTCACCCCAAGATGCTGTTTCATCATATTTCATCTTTGCAATGATCGCGTCCAAGACTGGCGGCAAAACAGCAGCGTATTGCGGGGGTACAGAGCCAGTCTTCTTTTGCAGTTTTCGTAGGAAGGTAAGGAGATCTGTGAGGGATGGAATGACGGTGGAACATACTTCGTCGTACTGGTCGGCGAAGAAACGTAGGAGATACGGCGTGAAGATTCGAATAAGGTCGTCTGCGCGCTGCCGAATGTGATCTTCGACTGTTTCATTTTCTAGAATCTTGACAATGTCAAAAACAATATTGTTAACAAGCTTGGCGACTGTCTCTGCAAGGTCGTTGTCGTAATTTGGACTGTGGAACTCAGCCAAAGCTGGACTATTGATGAGCTGACCAACAACTTCAGCGAGATTCAAGAAAGTAATCAGCTCAATCTTGTCTGATGGACTCATTTTCTTGCCAACAATCTCTGAAAAAGTATCGATGGCGGCATCGCGCACTTTTCCAGCAGCACTCTCCGGGTCAGCAATACCTTGCTGACCAGCCATCTCCAGGAAAGTGGTGATCATACTTTGGTTCACGACCAAGTTTATATCGATCCAGCTAACCCAACGTCCGATAGTCCTCAAGCACATCTCCACGAGCCCAAGATCCGTCTCTCGCCACTTGCCGAGGATCTCTTGCCAGGAAGCCGCTATCTTTTGTACGTCCCGTTGTCGAATGAGATCCTTCAGTTCTGTGTTCCGCTTCTTTTCGTATTCTGAACGTGTAACCAATTGATCCGCAATCTCGTCGTGGACTTGGCCAAGCATACGAAGGTACAAGAACGTTGTAGCTGTATTTACGCTACCAATTGCAGCCTGGTCCCCGGCCAGGGCGCGGAAATCGTCGAAGAAAGATTGCCATGAAGACGGGTATAAGGCGACAAAAAGGTATGTGATAGTCTGCATCAGCTTGTTCTGGATATGGCTTGTATCCGCAGCCCCGCTTCCAGGCACATAGGACTGACGGATATGGTTCATGAGGGTGTCTTTGATGTATGTAGTGCTTTGCTCATCCAGACGGTGCTCCTGGATTGCATTGTTGACGAGATCGAGCGAAGTATGACGGACGAAATCGGTGGCGCGAGGGTTGCGCGTGAAGAGCGAAAGGGCTGCCTGCCATGCGGAGCCTTCTGAGCGTAGCTGTTCCAGGTACCCTATAGCTTGGCCGCGCACCTCCTGGCTGGATGTCGGGTTGGCGGCGATCTGGATGGCATTTTCGACCTTGAACATGACCGCGTTAGCATGCTTGCAAGGTATTTGGTCGAGTAAGGCAATCGGGCACACATACTTGTTCCTCCATTGCCTCCACTTGCTCGATGCCAGACAGGTAGGTTTTAGGTGACAAGTCAGGAGCGGATATGTGCTAGATTATGTAGTGCGCATCGGAGTTGGTGAAGGGGGAATTCAAGCGACTGAACGGCTATTGGGTCATAAAGTAGGGCGTGAAGCCTGCATCGTGAAAGCGTTACAGCGGTGAAGGCAGAGAGGCGGGGCACGAGGGGCTGACGTACGGCGTGTGCAAGGGCTAATTTGTGGTCAAAGACGTGGTTCGAGCTTCGTCTCGAATTCACAGGAGAGCAGTATTGGTGTGCAAAAATTAAGAGTAAATCCGGTTCTTTGTTGAGTTGTGGTGAGCGAAAAGAGCTATGCAATGACTGGAGTGGGAGTGCCAAGCCTGCTTTTCATGGTGGGATGTCCTCAGCCCAATTTCACCGAATGACACGTGCGCACAAAAATAGTCGCCGACGTTGCTTCCCCAACATCACTGTGAGATCGCGTGTCCTGTCACAGGACTCAGTATACGTGGCTAGGGCTATCACGCAATTTGGAATAATTCTTCAAGTCTAAAACGATCTGCGGGCGACCTTCTACGTTCATATTATAAAAAGTCTTTATTGTGAATGTTTAGTGGAGAAACTGTAGCTTCTTGCGAATCGAGTATCTATGCTGAAGAGTGGGCCTCGCTAGATCGTAACAAGCACACGCATCCAGCTCGTGCTAACCCCAAACTAATGCCATTATCGGTCTATAGCTTTCCTCTGAAGCCTGCGCCGCTTCTGTGATCGTGAGCAGTCTGCGGTAGCAATAATAATCACCAAGACTTACTACGCTCCCAAATGCTTTGCCGCCCAAGCAACATGCTCGTCAGCGAATGATGCCATGAAGTAGTAACTGTGGTCATAGTCGGGCTGCATGCGGAGCTGAATGCCTTTGTCGTTGCCAGCTTCCTTGGCCGCCGCCAAAAAGTTCTCTGGTAGCAGCTGCCCTTGCTTGTAAAAGTTGTCTCCGGTACCCTAGCATGTCTTAGCAAAAATGATCTCGAACCTGACAGTTCGAAATACGTACAACATCAATGAGGATCTCTAGAGGACCCTTCCACTGCTTTACAAGCTCAGAGGCATCGTGCTCTTTCCACTTTTGTTGCTGATCCTCGCCAAAGTATCCTTTGAATGCCTTCTGACCCCATGGACAGTTGATCGGATTGGCAATGGGTGCGAACGCGGAGACGGACTTGTACTTGCCGGGGTTCTTGAGGAACTAGGAGCAGGGGTCAGTGCCGGCAGTTGAATTACCGCGTCATGTCCGACTTACCAGTGTCAACGCGCCATGACCTCCCATGCTGTGACCTGTGATGCTAACTCTGCTAGAATCCAGCTCTTGGAAAGAGGAAAAGAGCGCATCGGGAAGTTCCTTGGTAATGTACGAGTACATGTTGTAGCCCTTTGACCACGGATCCTTAGTAGCGTCTACGTAGAAGCCTGCGCCAGTGCCAAAGTCCCACGACTCATCCTCGCCCGCAATCTGGAGACCCCCTAACATGGCGGGTTAGCAAGGTGCTTGAAAATTTGTTGCAGTATCTACACACTTGGTGAAGTGTCGGGATATACCACGGCAATGCCGTGCTGAGCTGCGCCGTGCTGGAAGAAGCCCTTTTCTGAGCAATTGTTGCCAGTACATGTGAGTCCTGAGAGGTAGAAGAGTACAGGCACTTTTGCGCCAGACTTGAGCGCTTGCGGCGGTAGGAACATGTTCAGCTCCATGTCTGTGTTTGTGCTTGCAGACTTGTGCTTAAGCTTGAGAAGCTTGCCCCCAAAGGAGGCAATGGTGGCGGTAGTTTCGAAAGACATAGTGGATCGTAACGTATGGTAGGGAAAACGCGGTGCAGAAGGTTGGAATACAGATGCAGATCGAGGGGCCTTTAGAAGTTTTGTAAACTGCCGCATGGAGTGACGTTGTGCCTGGAATTAGTGCGGGGGGGAATGAATAGCTACGTTAGCTACCCCACCTTGCTCTAGTCTTTTGGCTCGTTATAGGAATCAGATCCGCGGGTCCGCATATATGCGGCGGAGAAGGCTTGGAGTTAACGGGAATCGGACGAGATTCGGGATATAATTGCGCAACCACTCAGATAAGACTCCATTCGCCGATATGCCCGATAATTCACCAGCAAATCAAACTCCATGCCAAATGCAACACCACAAACTGCCTCTTTATGTCAAGAGTTCTTCACAAGTCCAGTCTTCGTAGAAACCATCAGGCAGATATCTCCGTACAACCAACGGAATCTTCTTCTCTTGCAATTCCTTGGCAGCAATCTGCAGAGGATCCGTCATACCTTCCACGTCAATCAATACCGGGGCATTTCCACTAGAAACATGTTAGTTTTGCTGCGTCCAAGGCGTCCAAATTCCTGCGCGTACCTGATCTGGAGCGCTCTTGTACCGAGCACACGCGCCTTCTCGTACTTGGTCATGTAAGGCGTGGTTGTGCGCTTGTCGTTGGGGACCTTTTTGTCTTTCTCGCTCGTGACAGTGTTTTTGGCTGCCTCCCTGGCTGCTGCAGCCGCGCTGGCATCGCCGGACACCACTACATTGTCGTCGTTGGGGTCGGCGTTGTCTGGGTCCTCGCCGCCGCCGCCCATGTGGTCGTCCTCGTCGTCCATGAGATCGGGCTCGGCTTCTTCATCGAACTCGATGAGAGGCTCATCGCTGGTCACGTCAGCCGTGTTCACTTGGGCTATTCAGGTCTTGAGACTCTGCGACTGAGAAAATGGATGTACGTACATGTCTCCAGCACCGCCATCGTAGTCGTCACCGTTGTCGGACATGGTCGTGATAAAATCTGTAGAACAAAAGGCGGATTTTCAAACGGGTGTGGTTTTGCGCGTGGGCGGTGTTGCGGTGAGGTGGTGTACCTGATGCGCCAGGCAAAGAAAGAAAGCTCTGGACTTTGTCCCGGCCGGCGCAGGCACTAGCGCGTGAAATCTTGGCGCGTCCAAAATACAGTGGATCCTGAATTTCAATTAACACCCTCCGCATCTACGAGCAGCCTTTTGGCATATCCTTGACACCACCATGACTTTGAAGCGCAGGGTCACGGATGAAGCCAATTACACACCTTCAAAAAGGTCTCGAACAGGTATGGCCACCACACCATCGTAATGTCTAAAATCTAACATGTTCGGAGGTGCTGCGGCGGACACCACGGAGCTGGACTATGCTTCAGACGATTCGGCTGACTGGAAGGTCAACTACACCGATAATGGGAAATTGAGGGCAGAGAGTGAAGCCCGCAGACAGTGGAACTATGTCTGCCCTACGTGCTCCCAGCGATTCAACCGACCATGCCGTCTCGAGACACACCTGCGAAGCCATAACAAGGAACGTCCATTTGCCTGTACCGAGCCGGGATGCGATAAGACGTTCCCTCGCAAAGATCATCTGCAACGCCATCTGAAGAATGCTCATAGCGATCCGGCAACCGAACGAACATTCGTATGCGATTGGAATGGTTGCGGGAAGAGCTTCACATCCAATGGCAGGCTACAAAGGCACAGGGATGTCCACGAGTCCAAATTCCATTGCACCGAATATCCACCGTGCAATGAATCATTCAGAAAGGCAAAGTCACTCGAAGCACATGTCCAGAGTCAGCACCTCGCAGTCAAGCCATATGTCTGTGCCCATGTGGATGAGGAAACAGGTCAGAAGTGTACAAGCGGGTTCCAGACCGAGGGTGCATTACAACGGCACATGCATCGGGCACACATCGAGACGCGAGAGCAAGGTCATTTCTGCATGTTATGTATGGGCACGGCTGGCGAAGTCATGGTGCAGACCGAGTCTGCAGACCCACCACAGCTACCGTCGTTTGCGACCAAAGAAGAGTTGGAGGCACATACAGCCGAATTCCATCCACCAGTATGCACAGAGTGTGGCCAAAAATTCAAGAGCGCATCTATACTCAAGTCACATTTCGAAACTGTACATGGCGACCCACAGGAACAGCCACAATACCCATGCCCAAGGCTGGGCTGCGAGAGTGTATTCAACCGAAAGCACAACCTTACGGTGCATATTCAAAATGTTCACGATAAACAATTCAACTACGTGTGTGCAGCAGAAGCCGTAAAAACCTCCAAGCACGCAGAAATCCAGGCCTGGAACGGACAAGATGCTTGCGGCGCCTCATTCAAAGCAAGGTCCTCACTAGACCAGCACATCCGAAAACACCATCTCAACCTCGGCAACCGCAAGCAGCTGCGACAAGCCGCCAAATCCAAAAAGAAACCAGAAGCCTCAATGCTCACCATGCTCACGGGCGTGGGCTACGAAAAGGACCGGGACGTACCTTGTCTCGTCAAAAACTGCGCCTACCGCTTCTACCTCGATCGCGATCTCCGCCGCCATCTACGTGCCGAGCACCACATGTCGGACGCGGAAATCGAAGAAAAGATTCTAGAGCGCGATGCCATGGCTGGCGGCCAGTTCTGGATAGGTGGCCTTGACGAGTCGATGAATATGTTTGCCGATTCGGCGACACCCAGTATGCCAGAGACGCCTGGCCCGTATTTCACTCCTGGTGCTACGACGCCTATGCTACCTTGTCCTGAGCCTGATGCCAAGGACTTGCATCATTTGGGTAGTGGAGCAGGGGTTTTCAATCAGCAGTTTGATCACTTTGCGCTTGTTGATGAGGAGGCGGAGATGGATTTGGAGATGGGGCTGGGCGATTTGCCGCCGGCTGCTGATGTTCAGGATGGGCTGCAGTGGGATATGCTTGCGCCGGTGGAGCAGTATAATATCGACATTACTCGTGGTTAGGGAATTGTTGGGGTTTTGATGATTGTTGTTCACGATGGAAATGTAAAAGATATCTTTAATGACACATAGAGATACCCTATAGATTGTTGAAATAAAAAGTTGAAGACCCGCTACATTCACTCTACTACTCTCAATTACACATTGTCATCTTGTACACGTATATGTGATTCCATGTATACATACTTCACCTCCATCTTCCACTTGCGCGACCAAGTAATCTACAAACAGTACTCTTCCTTCAAAACATATAGAGAAGAAGAAGAAGAAGAAGAAGAAGAAGAAGAAGAAGAGGTATCGACTACATAAAGGTTTGATTCGTCCAGTCTAAATCGCTCGCAAGCACACCCAAAGCGGTAGAAAAAGAAGAAGACAGACGAATGCAAACGTTGGAAGGGGGGTATATATAGTAAACCAGCGAACGGCCGTTAGCAGCGAGAGAAAGAGAGCGCAAGAAAACGGAGAACGAAATAAGAAAAGAAAAATCTTCTTCAGAACGTCCGTAACCCGCCAGCTAAAACTCGCCAGCTATACCACCAATGCAAGCCCCATGAAGCCATTGTGAAAAAAGACAAAAGAAAAAGATTTCGTAATGGCTTTGCTCTATAGAATGAAATTTCCAGAGCAAAAAAAAAAGAAAAAACGCCCACGCTTCTAGAAAAAAAAAAGTCAAAGAAAAAATGACTCGGAGATGGAAAAAAAGGGGGTATAGCATAGAAAGAAAAAGAAAAAAAGCGTAAAAACACCCCAGTACGTCAGATTTCCCATGACAGGGAAAAGGCAATGCGATATATGCAGATCGAATGATAGGGGAAATAAAAGCTGCAATGGGAAGCGAAAAAAGCAAGAAGAGGAAAGGGAAAAGCAAAGAAAAAACATGGCTAAACTTTCCTACGCAGCCACTTTCGCAAATTGCGCCAAAGCACTCGCATCGGGAATCAGAACGACGTCATCTTCTGCCTCGCCTTCTCTTCCCTTCTCGGGCCACTCTTCATGTTCCAGTTTCTGTACAATGGTCGTCTTGTGCTGATTCTGCCAGTCAAGCCTCCACATTTCAAAGCGGAGTTCCCATCTTTGCTGGAGTCGTCGTCTGCGGGATTCAATGAGGGATTCAAGGTGCTCGAGATCTTTCTTGTATTCTGCTTCTTTGGCGGCTTCGTCTTTTTTCAGGTCGAGGTCCAGTTGGCGGAGCTCGGCTTCTTGGGTTTCGAGGCGGCGCTTGAAGTCGACTTCTTGGCGCGCTCGCAGGACGTTGATGGCGCTGGTGTGCTTTCGGGGTAGGCCTTGCTGGAGCATTTTTTGATGGTAAAGCTTTTTGAAGTCGTCTTCGGTTACGGTGTGTGTTTGCTCTTGTGAGGTGTTGGTGCCGAGACAGTAGGCCTCGATGTACTTGAGTGCTGTCGCTACGTTTTGTGTTTCCTGGGCTTGGGCTTCGAGGAGGTCGTGTTCAGCCAATACCTGCCGTTCCTCTAATCGATCTATATCATCTACGTGCTGTATGGTGTGAGTGAACTGAGGTGTCAAGAACCAACAAATTATGTACATACCTGCTTCATGCGTTCCTTCTTACGGACTTCATAATTTACTTGCAGTCGCTCTAGTTCGCATCGGTAGTGTGCTGCGAGGGCTTTTCTTTGGATACTTTCAAACGTCGAGACTCTATCCCATTGTTCCTTCTGCTGAACTCTGAAGCTCTTGAACGCTTCTAACGCTAGGGCAGAGTCAATGTTGGGCGGTTCTTGCTGCACATGTCGAGCTGTCATGTTGGACTCTGAAGAAGACGTCTTGGAAATCTGAGGACCCTCATGTGGAGATGACGATGCGTCTAGTGATACAGCTGATGCTTTCGTATCGACTCCCTCAAGAAGGCCCAGCTCGCTTTTGGTCAGCACATTTTCGGATATTGAGCGTCGCAATGGGCTCCCACAATGACCACACACTGAGTCTGCAGACAGAGACTTGGCCGGGGCTTTGCGGTGCAATTCCGAAGGGCAACTATGAGCATACGTCGTGACATTACGAGAATGCAGGCCAGTGGTGGCAAAGTATCTCGCTTCTTTCCGAAGCAAGGAGAACAGGGCTGAACCTCGCTTTTTGCGAGTATGCTCCTGCTGGGAAGAAGATCCTTTGGACGTCACAAAAGAGGAAGTGGCTGTGGCAGAGGACAGTGATGATCGAGTGGCAGGCTCTACACGTTCAATGGGTTGCTGGCAATTGTCTGCCAGCTGAGGAGCCTGGGCCAGGGCTGGAGGCATCCTCTTGGCCGACATGTAGTCAGCAGAGTAGACATGGTCGCGAGAAGTACGGGAAGGCGCCGAGGTGAAGCCTGTGGACTGGGTCTCTTGGGAGTGCATCGACCGCGAACTTGTCTGGTCGCTGTCGAGGGTCATGGTGGACACGGCGCGCGAGATTGTTGCTGGCGAGGGCATGAAGCGATAGGGATCCTGGATGCCAGCCTCGCGGGCAAGCACGACGAGCTCGGCATCGAGGTCGTCCTCTGTCTGGTGGGCAGGCAGGCCCAGGGCCTCGGCGAGATAGACGTGGTGGTCGAAGATGGGGGCGGTGGTGAGGAGAGTCGGGGGTTGGTCCGATATGAGGTCAGCCATTGCGCCGGAGCGCGCATGCATGCAGTGAGCGAGTGGTTGAGGGTGATGTCAGGAAGAAAGAGGTGGTGGCACCGCCCAAGACATGCAGGCGGCGGCGGCCTTGTCTTTCTTGGGCCAGAGCAGGCGCGGTCGAGTCGACGGCCAGCACACACTCGACCCGGGAGAGCCGCAATTAATTGGCAGACTGGCGGGTCAGGCGTCAAAGGGGTCAAGTCGGTGTGAGGATAGATGCTGTAGAAGCAGGGCGCTAGTATGTGGGAAAAGTTGACCCATGATCATGTGCCTGCTGATGCGACTGTCGCCGTGGGGTTGGCCAGCAGGGGACGGCCGAGTTGCCCACCTGGCCCACGCCCTTCTCGCCCGTCTCGAGGCGGCCATTTTTTTGCTTTTGGGGGGTGGAG